TCCAGGATCCCCAGCAGGATCTCACAGACAGCCCAGAAAGAGGACACGAGAGCCAAAGGCGGGTTCTCCCATGCAACGTACCCCGTAAAGGAATGATCCGACCCCTTTTCAGGAGAGCAGCAGGTCAGAACAGGAGAAGAAAGGGGAGCAACGGTCAAGGTCAGGAGGTCTAGCGCAGTACACGAGTACCTGGTGCATAGTAGGTACCCAGTATTTGTTGCCTGGGTGAATGAAAGCTGGTTGTTTGACCATGGAGGTGATGTATCAGTCAAAGGGCACCTCTGGTTTCTACGGTGATGAGACCGCAGTTAGCCAGAAGGTAAAACGTTCTGCCTCTGATATCTTAGGGTCCTAGGAATGAAAGCCACGTGTTCAAGTTGCGAGAAAACTCAGAGCCAGGGGGCCACTAAGACTCCCCACTTCAGGATAGAGGCATTGCGGTGGATTCCTGGGGCACAGACAGGCAAAGAAAAACATTCAAAAACAAAAGCGGGCACATAAGGTCATGAATGGGCCCAAAATAACTCGGGCCGTTGAGCAGACGGATGCAAGCGGCACATCTTGATGGAAATGAGGCCAAGTTGATACGCTGAAATAGTCTACCCTCCCCAGGTGACCTGACTCCTGCCTCGGGAGGCCTCGGCACGGGCCGGAGCCACCCACCACACTGGCAGCTTCGGGTTTCCTCTCGGCGTCCGTGTGCTGCTTTCATTCCCGAGACCCCCAAACTTGGAAACCTCTCCACTTACCGGGAGCGCACTGTGGAAGGCAGAGCCGGAAGCTATTTTTTCTGCAGACACTTCATGACTCTGGTTTCCACAGCAGCAGGCTTCGGTGGTTTTGCCAAGTCGCTCGAGAAGGGCACCTTATCTGCAAAGTCACGAATCCGAGAATCCAAATGGGCTGCCATTGGCGAGGGTGGGAGGAAGTTGTTTGTCTTAGCTTCTTGGGAGAGCAGAAGACGGGGAGGATCTGGGGAATGCAGGTCCCTTGCTATCCCTTTTTAAAAAAAAAATCCTCCCTTGAGGATACTTTTTCAAATATCAGGTAGAGTGGGAGGGGGAGAGAGAGAGAGAGAGAGAAACATCAACTTGAGAGAGACACATCGACTGGTCGCCTTCCGCAAGATACGTGCCCTTGACCGGAATCGAACCCAAGACTCTGGTCTACAGGCCGATGCTCTAATTGCTGAGCCAAACCGGCCAGGGCCCTCGCTGTCCCCTGATACAACCCCAGGGGAAAGGTTTCTGGTAGCTTCTCAGGGGAGGCTATGGAGCAGGGTGTCTTAGTAAGAGTCATTTTGGTTGCAGATAACAGAAACTCAAACCAGCTGAAGGAAAAAGGGGACATGGATGGGGAAGAAAAGCCAGCTCCTGACTGTCCTGACTGCAGCTTTGCTTGCCCTTTGATTCTCAAACTTCCTCATTTCCTTTCAATCAACTCCCTTTCTGCTTCAGTTAACCACAGGAGGTTTTTGGTGTTTGCAACCAAAGAATCTGGAGTGATACAAAGGGACCCGGTGGAACCCAAGGGCAGGCATTGGAACTGGCTTTTCAAAGAAAAAAAGACGACGAAGCAGAAAGTTATCAAGACTCAAGGTATTTTATCCTTCGGTATCAGTTGGACTGCATTCATTTCCAAACAACAGAACACTGGATGCGGTAGATAGTAAGCATTTGGAACCCCTCCCAAACTGGCTCTGGCCACGTGACTTGCTTTGTCTGATGGGAGATGAGCAGTGTGTGCTTTGGGGCTCGATCTCTCCTGCTGCTCTTGGGAACCTGTGCCCACCCACACATGGAAGAGTCTAACCAGCTGGGTGACGTGAGACCGCGCCAAGCAGAGACAAACTGTCCCAGCTGATGCCTCTCTAGACGGGGGGTTTCTCATCCTCACTACTACTGACATTGTGGATCAAATTTGTCCTTGTTGCGGGGAGCACTGTGCACTGTAGGGTGTTCTGCAGCATCCCTGGCCTCTACTCGTAGATGATAGAAGCACCCTTCCTGCAACCCCTCCCCAACGGTGACAAACCAAAATTATGTCCAGAAATTGCCAGACATCGCCTGGGGGGCAAAATTTCCCCTGATTGAGAACCACTGACCTAACCCAACTTGCCTGCCAGTGATGAGGCATGTGAATGAGGCCCTTCTAAACTATCGCGCCCCAGCCAAGCCAGCCCAGACCAGTACAAGTGCCCACTTGGCCCAAGGAGTCATGAGAGATAATGGTGTCATTTTCAGTCACTACATTTTGAGCGGTTTGTCCCACAGCACAGACAGGTACACCTGACTACAGTAGCTTCAACAGGAAGAAATGTATTGTCTTCCAAAGCGGGAAGTACAGAGGTAGGCAGTTCGGGCATGGCACAGAGCACAGGGATGCCGCTCCAGGCCCTTCTCATCTTTCCGTTCCGTTGTCCTTGGAGGTGGGCGTTAGCCTCTTGCTTGTTGCCTGGTGGTCCCCAGATGGCTGCTCCAGCTCCCAGGTCTGAGCTCCAGGAAACAGAAAGGAGACAAGGCAAAGGGAGAAAGGACAAAAAGCTTTCTCCTAGCCAAGACTTGCCTTTTATTGCAGAAGAAAAGCCCTCCCCGGGGGCCTTCACTTACATGTCATTGGTCAGAACTGAACAACATGGCCAGTTCTAGCTGCAAGGGAGGCTGGAAAATCAAGGTGGTCAGCCTTCAACTTATGTAGCAGAGGGAGGCGATGACTAAGGGGCTAGTAGTATCTGCTGCACTGTCTTCCTTGGCGGGTGTGTGTGGGGGGGTGCATCTTGATTCCTGTCTCTACTTGTTCCATATCTACCCCAGCCTTCTCTCTCTGAAGACTGGCTTTGTTTCCCCAAACGCAAGATGGGAAATAGCCACTCCAGCCCTGGAACTGCCTCAAACTCTCAGTACCAGCACACCAATGACTTGTGAGGCATCCCAGAGTCGACTTCCAAACACTAAAAAGAGATGCTGCCCTGGCTGGTTTGGCTCAATGGTTGGAGCATCGGCCTGAAGACTGAGGGGTCACGGGTTCAATTCCTGGTCAAGGGCACGTACCTGGGTTGCAGGTTTGATCTCCAACCCCTGTTGTGGTCGTGTGGGAGGCAACCAATCTGTGTGTCTCTCCCACATCAATGCTTCTCGGTCTCTACCTCCCTCCTTTCCACTCTATGTAAAAATCAATGAAAAAATAGCCTCAAGTGAGGATTTACAACAACAACAACAAAACAAAACAAAAACAAATAAACAATAAATATCCCAACAAAAATAAAATCAGAAATGCTGATTGGCCCACCTTGAGTTAGAAGAGAAACCTGATTGGTCTGGCTTGAGTAGGACATCTACTGCTTGGCCAACCAGCTGTGGCCAAGAGAGCAGCATGAGGTAGGGCAAACCTGGTTGGGTGGGGGTGCGTTCTCAGGGAAAGTGGATGTATGGCTGGGGAGATACCCAAAAAAGCTACCTAGTTTAAAGTGTGAAGAAAAGAAATTGCCATTATGGGTTGTAATGTTCATAGGATAAAAATGAACGCGTCCTTTGAAAGACCTAAAATATAGTGGAGTCATGCAGGCGTTACATTTAACCTATGCAAATTCAAATCTACATGTTCAACTAACAAAAAACACCCCCCCCACACACACACAACTTGGCTCCCAAACATGAACCAGCTGCTTGAACTACCCAACCAAGTGATCTCTTTGGATGCTGGAGAAAAACTTGCTGGTTTGGACTGTGGGGATGTGGTACAGTATAAATAATACTATGTTAAAAAAATTTCCAGAATCTTCAAGAGCATTTTTAAGATCAGGTAATGCTCACCTTTCTCACTGACGTTAGATCCTAACCCTGTGTAAGATGTACCTTTGGTGGGATACCACACAAAGAAAATCTCCTATTTTAGTTTTAATCAGTATAAAGAATGCATTTGGGTTTGGAATATAAAAAATATTTTTATTGTGGCTTTTAAAAAATAAAAATGAATGCTATTCATGACTTCTGGCTCTTCCTCCCATTCTGTCCTGGGCATACAAGAGGCAGTGAGTGAGGGCAGAACCTGGGAGAAGCAGAGATGGAGCAAGAAGGATGAGGGTCCCTCTCCACACCTGGAAAAGGGGTGTGTCCACGTGAGTGGTGTGTGCTCTTTGGTGATGGGGCACTTGCCTGGGACTTGAACTAGGGGGCCGTCTTGGTATAGCGGAATGGGCAGCATGAAATGGAACCTGCATTCCAGACCAACTGTTGAATTTACTAGCTGTGTGATTTTAGACAGGCCACTTAACCTCTCTGGGCCCCAGCGTCCTCATCTGTTAAATGGGGAACATAACACTACTTACCTCCCAGGGCCCGGGGGGAAGATTGGCGGAGAAGCCTTTTGAAAACTGCGGAGTGCCACATAAATGTCAGTCATTATGGCAGCGATAAAAGTGATCGGTGTTCTAGATTTATTACCATAAGCTCAGATATGAATGCAGTCTCCCATGGCCCCAACAGCCCTGAGGTCGCCATTCTGGCCTGTGGCCCAAGAATCAATCTTTGGTTTCCTGAACTGTGGGTTTCTTGGAGCTCCTCGGTGGCGTGACATTTGAGTACGTCACGACTCGAACATGGGACCACGTAATTGTATCTGTGAGACCCAGGAGTCTGGGTTTCAGACCTATTCTCCGTGTGCCTGTGTATATATACATGATCAGGTATTTAGGAGCTTACTTTTCATGTTAAATTATATAACTTTCCTTTGAGGATGCCATGATGACGGAATCTGTAGATGTTTGACACACTTTGTAAAGAAACTAGAATTTTCCTAAATAAATAAGTAAATAAGTAAGTAAATAAATAAAAGAATCCCCCTCCACACTCCAAAATACAGCATGGTGCAAAATACCAGTCTAGGAAGCGACACACTAGGGTAACAACCTTTAAAGTCCTATGAAAGCTATCTTAGTATTTTGACACAGAAGAGTCGCACTGACTCACAGAGGATCTCACGAGGCCCGGCGGATGATCTTTCTAGTTCCTTCCACCAGGCTTTGAGGACAAAAGACTCTGGCTGGATTTGCTGGAAGAATCTCTCTTCAGCATCTCTCTTTCTATGTCCATCTTTGGGGTGCCTTTTCTGGTTCCAACCTTCAACGAGCAAGAGATACAAATGCACAGACTCTTGCATTGTAGCAAGATCCCCAAACATTCCACTCCCATGTTTTGTTTTGTTTTTTTAAAACTTAAAACGTTTCTTAAACAATACAGTATATATGCACGTAAAGGCTGGCAAAGGAAGCTAAAATGGCCCGCCACGGTCACTCCCCAAGGTAAGCGTTTTGAGGTCTCCTTCCAGACACACAGGTAACTGTCCCTTTTTATGTTCATGGTTTGGAATTCAGGAGCTTCTTCGGAGGAACAGCTGCTACTGGACTGCATGTGTCTCATGTCGCTGATGTCACAGGAGGGAGCATGCAGGATATTGGAGGGGGTCTGTTTAGCCCTTTTCTGAGCACTGCGCCCCACCCCAGCCATGTGTTTGAGCCTAGCCTCGGCCATAGTTGATCAGATACTTGGCACAGGCTGGGCTTTTAAAATGACCACTCCCAGCATTGGGGGTTAATGGGTTCTGAGAGGTTATTCGCTCCCTGGGCTGGTCCTTTGAACTGGGAGACCTTGAGGTCATCCCTTCCTGTCACATGACTGGGGAGAGACCAGCAGAGATATGGAGAGATGACGCAGAGAGAAGACATGCTGTGTGTGTGTGTGTGTGACATGATGCCTGGGGTCCGATGGCTTGCTTACCCATTCTCTTGAGGCTGGATTCTTCCAGCTATTCATTTTTTTATGAGACGCTGACTCCAGTGTCCTTATAAAAGCTCCCTTCCTCTGTCTGAATAGGTTTGTATTAGTGGCTACCCAAGAATCTCTCTCTCACAGTTCTGCACCTACTGTGGACAGATTGTCATTTGCAAGCTTTACAAGTGTGTTTCAAACTCCAGCCTTACGTCCTGCAGGTTTTGACTTGACAGGGAGGACACCATGCCCTTGGGGGAAGAAGGCTGTGGGTAGTGGAATTTCAGCTTTGCCACTTACTACGTGACCCTCAGTTTCCTCATCTGTCAAACAGGGACCAGGATCTGTGCCCTGTCTTCCTCGCAGGTAGATTTCCGTGAGAGGGGCCGGTGGACCCCCTCTTGAGCTCTTTCCCCTTTCGGACAGGTTTACGCATCTCCTCCGAGAGCGGTGCCGGGGCTGGCAGGGCCTCGGGTGTGTTTGGGGTGCACCAGCCCACAAAGTATACCTTGGTCGGAATGCCAGGGAAAATGAAAACACACAGCGAATCTTGAAAACTTTCCGTTGGAAACCACCTTTCCTTTATAGCCATTTTTATTTGACTTTCAATAAAATTGCTGGGTGTGGATGGTCTGTTTAGCCCCAAAGTCAGGGCCCTGACCCCGGGTGGGGCTGGCTGTCGGAATTAGAGCCAGGGAGTTTGTTAAAAGTCAGGAGTCCTCAGTCCCAGGCCCCCTGCCCTGAGGTCTGCCAGGAGCTTGGGCGTTTAGCCCCTTTTTTTGAGTGACCGGGGTGAGGCAGCAGAAGGCTGCCAGGATGGGGAACTGGGAAGAGGAAGAGAAGGGAAACGAGAAATTTGAAAATGCAAATAAGGGCAGGAAGGGCAGGGAAAAGGTGGCAGGGTCTGCCCTGAAGCAGGGACCAGGCGATGGCCATGCATTCAGTTTGGATGTCTGGAAGCACATGGCCCACCCTTAGCATGAAAAGGCGTGGATAGAAGCCAGTCCTTAAAACAGCAACACCCAGGGGGACATTTTTTTCTCCGTTATGGTCCTTCCCTAAACCTTCTTAGACCCTTTTTCCTAAGCGTTCCCCATCCATGAAATGTTACTATTACAGATAGCACCATATGTCTATCTTGGCTTTATTCATTAAAAAAAGGGGGTGATACTGCCCCCACTGAGAACGCACGGTTGAATCCCAACACCTGGACGGCACCTGACTCATCGTAGGCTCTCGGTAAATATTTGTTGAATGAATGGGGCTGGGAGAGTCTCTTTTTGTTTACTTTTCCATCCCCAGTGCCTAGCACCGCATGTGGCCTAGACTAGGCATTCAATATATATTTGTCAGCTAGAAGATTTTCCTCAATTAGCACACAACTGACAATTATACAAGACTGTTCGCTGCAGCAAACATCGCGTCAAACCAACGAATGGCACTCTGGAGGACAGAAAACAAAAAGCCACAGGACCTTAGGGAGGAAGGAGCTGTCAGTTCTGAAGCTTGCTGGGGGGTGGAGACGCCTTTATGAGTGGGCAAGACTGAAAGATGAGATTTCACACGTCCTGTCTTTTTCAAGGTGGTCATGAGACCTCCATGTCCGTAAGGACTCGAGGCACACTTCGCAAGCAACCTGGAGGGAACCTTTCTGGACCAAGGAGGTTCTCGACAACGCCTCTAAGAGGGGGCTGGAGGGCTGGGAGAACGGGGAGCTGCGTCTTTCTCTTAGCGGAATCAACACCATCTATGCACATCATCTACCCACAGTCTGTTAAGACCAGAGGCGGCCTGAAATTCCAGGCGGCTTCACAGCTCAGAGAAGCACGTGTTTCTACAGCATCCAAGGTACCGGCCCATTTCATATCACCTCTGTCCTCTTACATCTCCGGGGATCCTCAGACAAAACCTAGCTGTAGGACGGTTGCTGCCTGCTGTCGGCCCAACCATACGTATGGGTGACTAAGTGACAAGGCTCCCAGTTGTTCCCACTTTGCAAGGTGGCGAAGGTCTCAGATCTAGATCCACCCCCCACCACCCCGGGATGCTCTCTACCCTCCTAACATCCTGTTCTGGGTAGTAACCACCTTCCAGTGTTAGAACAAGGGTGTTGGTTGAGAAGAGGCTTCTATTTTCCAAAAATATCCCTTACCTGGAATCATTTTGTTTTTTCTCAGTGATAATTTTGCTGTCTCAGAATGATTGTGGCCTTTTATCAAAATCAAATATAGCTTCTCGCTCTTATCCAATGAAAGTGTGTCTGCTTTTAAGCTTCCTGAGAGATTGCGTCTACTGTCTGCAGAGTGGGAGGCTGGGTTGGGTCAATTCCAGTTCCTGGCTGAACTGTGATGGCAATGTTTCAGCAGGTTGAAGATTTCATAGTCTGGATCCTCAACTCTTAAAAAGGAGTATTCTAGAGGATGCTTCTTTGAAATCCAAGAGAAATACCACCTGAAACATACCAGGTTTATCACCTGGAGGTTTATTTCCTCAAGGAGGGTGCGCAGTGCTCAGCTGGGTGTTGGATCTGCATTGAGCCCCAACTCTCCTACTTAGCTGTGTGGCTCCGGACAAATTACTTAAAGCCTCTGACCCTTAGACATGTCATCTGATAACTGGGGGTACTAACAATATCTACAGCATAGGGTTGCGGTGAAGATTAAATGAGGTGATGCTTAGCTCTGTGCGCGACACATACTAAATGCTCAGTACGTAACAGACGTGAGATTCCTGACAACTCAGTTTCCTGCCGACCGCCTACTGCTTTCTCGCTTCTCTGTCTGGCTCACCTGGAAACTTGAGTTCTGCATCTTGTTCTTCACCGTCTCTACAAACATCCGTCTCTAATACAGAAAGAATAGCGACATCATTTAGCTTATGTTCTTCTTTGACTGTTGCATTGAAGAAAAAATTCTCTCAGCTTGCAGCTGCTACTCATTTGGACGGGATACTGGGCCTTTCTAGGGACGAGCGTGGGGGTGAGAGGTCGGGTCTGGGGAGGGGGACTTGGCTTTCGGGCCATGCTGCACCGTTCTGCGGAGCCCCTTACGGGATCTCTGTTCCGGGTTCCAGAGGAATCAGGGGGAGGAGGCTGCTCCACTGAGGGGCCCTGGAGGAACCTTTATCCCTCTTGGGGACAAATGTGCTTTAGCTGGAAGCAGAGCCTCCCAGATCCGTGGAAGAGGCTGTAGATGTGCCGTGGGGTCCCCCCAGGCACCCCAGGACCCCGGCATAATGAAGGCCACAGCGACCTCCCTGGCGGGGCCTGCTGGGAAGCCAGTCACCACACATCTGGAGCTTCCCCCCGGGCTTGATTACTTTTGTGACCCTGGTCTCCTCAGGACCCCACCTCTCAGGGGCCGTTTGCTGAAGAAACAGCATCCCCTGGGCGTTGGGGACACAACGGTCAGAGAGAGCTGGGGCCTCCCTCACAGATGGACTCTCCGGCAGGTGGGGCGTCGGGAGGGGGATGTTCTCAGAGCGCCCTGAGCACCCACTGGGGCCACCAACCTGCTGCCTACCGGGGCCAGGGAGCTGGCGGGGATGCCAGCAACTCCCTCGCCCAGCACCTTTCTAAGGGGCCTGGAAAGCAGCATTGGGCGGTGGGGCTGTGGGTCTAAAGTCACCACATCTTCTGAGTTTCCCAGAGAAGCCAAGAATCCAGAGCATTCCATGAAAGTGCCGTATTTTGAAATGTTACTTAAAAAAAAATAATCCCATGAGTCAATGAAAACAGCTGTGGGCTGCCATCTCTCGGCATCTGCTTTCGACCCCACCCCCTCAGCATCTGCTTGGCACTCAGTAAATATTTATGGGCGGGGTTGCCAGGCAAACTCAGGGTGCCCAGTTCAATGTGAATTTCAGAACGAAACCCAAGAATGTTTTAGTGTAAGTAGGTCCCATGCAATATTTGAGACATGCTTACCCTAAATAACTGTCTGTGGTCTGTCTGAAATTCAGATTGAACTGGGCATCCTGTTTTGATTTGCTTAGTTTCCCCCTTCTTTTAATTCTGGCAACCGTATTGGACATTCACAAAGCTCACGGAGCAGGAAGGCCGACTTCAGGGACCAGGCAGAGCTACTTGGAAGTCTCTTCCGTTCTTACTAAAGGATGCTAACTCTGCCCTGAGCCACTGTCTCTGAAGGCTTTAGGCACAGTGGTTCCAACCTTCCTAATGCCGTGACCCTTTAATACAGTTCCTCATGTTGTGGTGACCCCCAACCATAAAATCATTTTCGTTGCTACTTCATAACTGTAATTTTGCTACTGTTATGTCTTAGGCGGCGAGTCGCGACCCCCAGGTTGAGAACCACTGCTTTAGGGCCTGTATTTAAGGAACAGTTGCCCTACAGGCATCTTCTGTGGAGAAGGCCTTGAGCCACAGCTGCTCCATATTGATCACAAACTTAGTTGAGAGGAACTAAGCTCAGAGGACAGTCACATCGGAATTCCCAGATATTACAAAGCGGTGCTTTTAAACCAACAAGCTTCTTGCCTTTTCTTTTCTTTTTGTAGGGGAACCTTTTACCCAAGCAAAATCTCTTGAAGATCTTGGCATATAAACCAGATAATGGAGAGCTTCTCTTGAGGGAGGAGGTGTGTGTGTGTGTGTGTGTGTGTGTGTGTGTGTTGAGTCACACCCTTCCATGGCACCCAAGGATTCCAGGGAACCCCAGTTTTAACAGTGCTCCAAAATATCTTCCTGGATTAGACCCTGTCAGTGGACAGCTGGGCGCTCCAGGGCAGAGCCTGGCCCCCGCACACCTGCTGTTCTGGGGCTCACTGGGATGTGTGTGATGACATCGGTCTGTCTCAAAAGCTGTTCTCAGACACGGCCCAGCCAACATGGCATTGCTATTCTTAGGGATGTTGTTCATTACATCACACAATGTCCTCTCTAGGGAAAATCCAGCATTGTCTTTGCTCTGAGAGCACCTCTGAGCCTTGCATCATTTTGTCTCATGGACACAGTGAACTCTGAACCACACTGGGTTTCCCACGTCCCATTGGCCACCAGGAAACCCGCAGTCAAATGAGGCTCCCGCTTTGGTAGGCGAGGAGGTGGTTACAATGGGCACTTTTATTCTCACTCCTGGCTCTACTTTGTACCCACTTTTTCCTTTCTTTCACCCACTTATTTCACTCTTGGGGTAGGGCTTCCTGGGGCTCCCCACTCCTTTCTTCTTCTTCTCTTATGACCTTGTCTCCAAGTCCCCAAATCACTTAGAGACTAGGATGTGCCCCCTCTGCCCCCCCTCACCTCCAGATACTGGGTTAGGTGCCTGCTTGTCTCTTGGGTGATTCATTCAGGTTGCAGGCAGAGAGGGGCAGGGGTGAGGTGGGGGGGGGAGCGGAGGTGGTGGCTGCTCCCCCAGCACAGAGGACGCTCCATAGCTCTCACTCTCTGAAAAGACTGTCTCCACTGTGTCTGGCTGCAGGATCAGAACACCTCTCCATACCTGCCTCTCTTTCGCTTTGAAGGCGCAGTTGCAAGATCTTGATTCTTTTGCATTTCTCTGTTCGGGATCCTCTATACGTTCCTGAGTGAAAATATCAGGTGAGCGAGAGAGTTCAGTGTGTCCTAACCTGTCCCATTCTGGACAGACATCCCTCGGAGGCTTCTAGGTGAGGATTCAAGAGTTGGGGAGCAAAAGAAGGGGGAAGCGGGCGGCGGGGGAGAGTCTTTTTCCTCAGCTACCTTCTATCCATACACTGCGCTACCCTAACCGCGTTTTACTTTTTCACCCTCGGGTGGGCCGGAGGGTACCACCTCCAACCCCCAACCCATCCCATTCTCGTCCTCCGCGACATCTACCAATTTCTACTCCGTGGTCAAACACACAAGTGGCACAGAGGGAACCGGGATCTTGAGAATACCTGGGCCCAAGAGAATCTTGGAAGATAGTGAGTTATAAGAATAGTGATGACGACGACGCTGGGGTAAGAACATCTGTTGAGTGGGCTGATGTAAGGGTTTTATATACACCCTGCTCTCATGGAATTGAATGCTGTGCCTTGGGTGCCGTTTTTCGTCTCATCTTAAAGATGGGGTCTGGGCTAATTACGCGGAGGACAGGTTAGGGGCTCCAGCCCCGCGGAGACCGCCTGCAAAGCTGTGGCCACGCCCCTCGGCCAGGGTTTGATTGGCTGGAGACTCGGTCGGCAGCGGAACGGAGCTGCTTCCCGGGCCTGAAGCCCAGCGCTCAGCCCCGTCCCCCTGGGAGCCCCGCTGCAGGGCCGGCAAAGGGCCGCGCGCTTCTCCCAGGGCAACGTCCGTGCACTGACACGGTTCCTGCTGACAAGTCCAGCCTCAACCGATCCCAACAAGCCTCTGCGCCTCTCCTTGGCTGGAGCCCCAGCTGCATTCACCGAAGAGAAGGAGAGAGGTTCACGAAGGAGCTGCGGGCTTTGGGGGCACAGGAAGCGGGGCAGTGGCTGAACCTGCCCGTGGGCAGGACGTGCTCTGGAGGAACACAGGCTCCCTTCCCAGCGGGACGTCGCTGCCTCTTCTCTCCCTGGCAGTGACCGAGCTCGCTGCGGCCCGGAACTGCAGGCCCGTGTCATTGAACCCTCCCAGTGCCCCCACGGAGCAGGTCCCATTGCTACCATTCGGGGTTGTCTTGTTGAGGTCCCTGAGATACAGAGGGTAAGCCACTTACTCAGGGTCACTCATGGGCAGGCGTGGGGGGCTTGAACTCTACTTGTTTGACCCCGAAGTCCTCCTGCGAACTCTGACAGACACGCCGCCCTGCCCAGTGATGTGGGAGTGGACTAGACTAAGCCCGGCCTGGGCCACTGTCCCTCGGACAGGGCTGGCGCTCCAGAGGCACCCCGAGGCCCATGACCAGGTTCTCTGTGGATGCCCACTGAGCTTTTCTCAGCATGTTATAGCGAGTCTCCTTTCCACCGGCAAAGGTGTTAGTAGGGGGCATGACTTTTGCTTCTGGGAAGTTCTGCGTGGTGAAGAGATGTTCAAATATTAAAGCGACAAACTACACTTTAGGGGGAGAGGGGTGTGGTCGTTCTGAAGCTCAAGGTGAGCGATTTCATTTCCCAGGGCTTCCTCCAGGCCGTTTCCATGGACCGGTGAGCTTTATACAGGAGACTAAAATTTTTCTTAAAAAGGCTCTTTGTGGAAATATTAGGCGTAAAACTTAAAACAAAAAGGAATTCTATTTTCCTCCAGCTTCCATTTAAACAGTGAATATGTATTTCCTGGAAGGAACTGATACCAAGACAGATATATACAAGTTCCCTTCAGAATCCAGCAAAACCTTAAAAATTTATTATTTTTTTCCTGACAAACAGAAACTTCTGACAGCATCTGAATAGCCAACCTTAAGTGCAAACCCAAGCCCTGGTATGAAGCCCCAGAGTCGTGGTGAGTGGCGGGTGAGGGGGATGCCCTGGAGAGGCAGATGGTGAGGAGTGGGCGTGGGAAAGTGCACCAGGCTGGGGAGGGTGGGCAGCAGGTGTGGGTGGGAACCCTGCTTCTGCACTGAGCAACCAGGTAACATTCTGTCAACCTCAGTGTTCCCCTCTGGCAAACGGGCAGACGTGCACCAGCATGCCTTGCAGGGTTGATGGGACAGAGGAAGCATGTGTCATGTGGAACAGGTGCCTGCCACTTGGTAGGCGCTCGATAAACAACGCCATCAGCATTGCCATGCTCATTATGGTTCTCGTTCTTACAAATCTGTCCCTAAGTTGTGAATTCCATAAATTTGAAAGTTCCCAGCTCTAGCCCTTCTGGGGTCCCCGTCACAGCTTCCGCTTGGTCATTTCAGATCCTCCTCCACTCTAGGATGCCTAGTGCCCTGTAGGCGGGCACAGCCCCCTGCACTGTACATGAGCACGCAGCTCATGAATAATGCATGTGAAGCCTGATTATGTAAATCCTCGGGTTTTCTTACATTTTCAGCCAGCGCATGACAATGGCCTTTTTTGGGCCCTTTGCTGTCCCGTTCTGTGGTCTGGTCTCTCTGTTTTGGGATCAAGCCTGCAGGCCCTGGGGGAGCACCTCAGCAGGGGTGAGCTCTCCAGAGGGCACCTCAAAGGAAAGCCCGAACTCTGCCACCGGCCCAGCTCTCCTTGGCACTGCTCGATGTGCAAGGAAACGCTCCTCTGCCTGAGGCAGCCCCATGACACATGCAGACAAGGGTCTGTGATGTTTAATTTAGCTCAGAGAGGTGGACATGAGCAATGCTCCATCTGGTGCTCCCTCAGAGCAGGCGGTCGCTTTCATTTCTGGGGCTACAAGCCAGAGCCTGCGGTCTGGGAGGTGTGGAGAATGGAGGGCAGCCTTCTGCAGGGAGCTCCTCTGAGTCAGCTCTTTACCTGTCTGCTCTGCACTAAAGGACACGTTCTTCAAGGACATCCACCCACCCATCCATCCACCCATCCATCCATCCATCCACCCATCCATCCATCCATCCATCATTGAATCACCAAGTATTTATTGGGTGTCTCCTATATTCTGGGCAACCAGAATAGTAAAACCAAATCTCTATCCTCAGAGAGCTTATTCATCTATGTGTCCCCAGGGCCTGGCAGAACAATAAAAATACAAATCATAGCTGCTATTTAAAAATATACAGATGAGTTTCAGAGAAGTTAAGAAACCAGCCTGAGATCACACAGTGAGTGGCAGATCAAGGGTCTAAATCTAGGTCTGCCTGAGGCTAAAGCTATTCTGCCACCTGCCTTAGGCCAGATCGCCCTGGGACCTCGCTGTGCCCGGGTGTGGAGGGGCAGCCTCAGAGCTTCTGCTCCAAGCGTCCGAGCAGGGGCCCCTCACCTTCTGCTGCCTCATGGCCCTGTTGATCCTCTTCTCCTGGTGCAGCTGCTGCTCCATGCGCTCCAGGGCCTCCTTCAGCAGCGCCTTCTCCTCGGCCCCCTTGTAGATGTCGTCCTCCAGCTTTGCCACCTGTGACTGGTACATCTGAACGGACACTTTGCTCTGCCTGAGCACGTGGGAGAGACAAAGCCTCTTTTCCCCTCATCTTTCTCAGTCACCGCCAATGTCCCTGACCCGGAGATTCTCCAGATACTCCCAGATACTGCTAACTTCGTGTTTTCCTTACACGCAGGAGAGGATGACAGAGGTTTGGGGAGTGCAGGGTAGAATAAATAGCAATCGGCGGAGTCAGTGAAGCAGGAGGGGGGCAAAGGGCGTGTTCCCGGCCCCTCCCAGTTTCCCAGAGGGCAGGGGGACCACTGGAGATGCGATGGAACGATGGAAAGGTCACAAATGCTGAAACGTGGGACAGTCGCAGAAGCTGCTGCCTACTCACTAGGACAGAGTAGAGAGTGGAGACTCCTGAGAACTTTGGTGGCCGCTGTCTCCCCAAGAGACTTGTCACTACAGGCCCTAGTCACCATCCTGTCCCCTCCATGCCCCTGACTTTAGTTTTTCCATACCCAGGTCTGTGACCTTCTGCCCTGAGGTTTAGCCGAGAGAAGGGAGCTCTGGGCCTGTCCACGGGGACACGGGCGATACCTGAGCTGTTCAATGTCCTTTTCGTATCCTCTCAAAAGCTCCTCCTTTCTCTCCAGCCGGTTCTTGAGTTGGGTGATCTTATCGAACACCAGATCGAGGTCTCTTTGTCGAAGCTGGTTGACCCTCTCCCTCTCTTCGGGGGAGAGGTGCTTCATGGACACGTGACCTGCCATATCCTTGATGTTCATCAGGCTCCCAAGCGTTTTGCTCATGTCCATGTACTACAAGGAAGGCATGCGCAGTAAGAGGCCTGGCCCGAGACCGCCGGTGGCCGCCCTCAGCAGGCAAACGCCTAATTCTGATTCACTCATTTTTGGCAATCGCAAGGAACGAACACACCTTTTGGAAATGAGTGCAACTGGGGTTTTAGTACAACTTTCGTTTCCTCCACATCCGTTTACATAATGCCTTTTGGAGAACCGGCGGCAAGGTACAAGAGATACACGCATTCATTCGTACTCCGCAGTTTTCAAGGAGGTTGGTTATGCCCTGTCTGACCCGTGCCGGGGTGGTGGACGGGTCTGGCAGAGAGAGCCATTAGAACAACCCGATGTGTATGCAGGGTAGGTGTTTACATTGTGCCACGGTTCACACTGACTGCAGGGGACCCGGGTTTGGACAGAAGGCCGTCCGTACCTACCAGCTTTTCACTGAGATCCAAAGCCTCGGCCATGTCCGTTTTCCTTGACTTCTCGGTGGCCAAGTTGGCAAGTCCATTTTGAGCCTGAAATAAAAAAGAGTTAAAAAAAAAAACTCTTGAATTTCTGCATGCGGAAGTTGAAATGCTGTGTAGTTACCAAAGAAAACTTCGGCAGAGTTGGTTTTCGTATCGGTTCCTGACCTTCTGGTCTGATTCCTTTGTCAACTGCTTTCTTGTAACTGTGTCCCCCATCCAATCAGAGGGCAGTCCCTTTGAAATGACACATCACGTGTCTTGTTCGTTGGTCACTGTCTTCCGTCTAGACCAGTGGTTCTCAACCAGGGGTGATTTTGTCCACCCTTGACCCCTCCCCCAGACATTTTGCCATGTCTGGGCACATTTGTAGTTATTAAAACTAAGGATGCCCTGGCCAGTGTGCCTCAGTTGGTTGAGTGTTGTCCTGTGCACCAAGAGGTCGCTGGTTTGATTCCCAGTCAGGCCACATGCCTGGGGTTGCAGGCTTGATCCCCAGCAGGGGGTGTGCAGGAGGCAGCTGACTGCTGTTTCTCTCTCATCAATGTCTCTCTCTCTCTCTCTCTCTCTCTTCCTCTCCCTCTAAAATCAATAAAAACATATTAAAAAAACTGGGGGTGGCGGGTGCTGCTGGCATCCAGAGGGTAGAGGGCAGGGATGCTGCCGCACAGCCCACAGCCAGACCACAAAGAGCGGCCTGGCCCACACTACCGGTGGCATTGAGGTCGAGGAACCCCGAACAGGAACTGCGGTGCTTTTGCTCACTCTCCCATCTCCTGTGTCTACCGTGGCACCCGGCGGAGTGGCACACAGTGGGCGTGTTTGCTGAGTGAATGAATGAAGGTTAAACAGGAAAGAGCTCCCCCTCCTTCTATGAGAAGAATCTGAGTTTTATGCAGTGGGAACTATGCCCTCACAAAATGTGGCCCAGCGTTCCAGAGTGCTGGAAGCTGGCGGGCGGGTGCTACTTCAGACCCTCTCCAGAGACAACGGAGGGTGGTGTTTATAGCTGCGCACTCACTGAGACCCGAATCAGCCAGCTGGGAGTCCCTGCTGGCTGCATGCAAAAGCCACCAGACCAATCAGGGAATCTGACGGACCACAAGTAGCCAATACATCACCTTAAAAAATGAAATGGGTGTTCAGTGCTTGCCATGTAGCATCTCTTAGCTCATAGCATTTGCTAGCACTATACTCTGAGATTTAAAAAAACGCACCGCCCAAATACAAAAGCAGAGAGGCCCCCAAAGTAACTATGGCTGATAAGAGTGGACATATTTATTTATATATTTATAGAGATGAGTTAAAAGAGGGTATTTGAAGATGACAATAAACTGGACAGATGTGCTGCAAAAGGAACCTGAAATGCCACTTGGTGTCTTCATCTCCCCTGAGCTGCGTCCTCTGCACCCCTCTACTGATCCCCCCTCTTATGCTCAGGGAGGGCCACCTAAGGAAGAGCCTGTGCTCCAGGGTTCAATGACACAGTCCCCGCCCCTTCTCTGCAGTCTAGCAGGGTGCTAGGGACAGACTGCCAGGGACACCGTCCTGGCTCCATCACTCACTATCCTGTGATCTTGGGTGAGGTACCTGACCTCGGAAGCCCTGAGTTTTCTTATCTGTAAGCCAGGGATAAAGATAGCAGCTGGACACAGGCTGCTGTGAGGATTAAATGAGATAATGTGTGCAGAGGGCTTAGCTCAATGCCTGGCCCAAGTCAGCACTTAGCAGATGTTAGCTCTTCTCCCTCCTGCTTCTTCCCCTCCTTTAATTTTAATTACTGCCAACACCGAAGGATTGAGGTCTGCGAAGAGAGCTGGGAGGGCGCGTGCTCGGTGGTGTCAGTGGTGGGGTCAGGGGTCATTGCCAAGGGGAGGGAGATCCTGGAGCAGAGTCAGGATCTGAGATCCAGCTGAGCTCCCGCCCTGGAGATGGTCCCTCCACTCCCAACCTCAGAGGGTAAGCATTTGATCTTATAAAAAATCCCAACAGAACCTTGCAGACTCACACTGCTAGCAAATGTCCAGGAAAAAACGGTTGGGGAGAATGTTAGCATAGACAGAATGATTATTATTTCTCCTAAAAGCCTGAGTACGGTTGAGATCCAGCTGCAGCAGCAAGCCCCGCCCAGGGGCTCCTGTGATTGACACTGACCTGAGTTGTCCACTGTTATGTGTCAATCAAACATCCACTGGGGGTACAGAGCACTTTCAACTTAACAACTGAATTACTCATGAAAATCCTGTCAAACAAAGTTATGCCCCCTAAGAAAGGAAGACTTTCTTAAATAATATTATTTAAATACTATTTAATAATAATAACAACAGCTAACATTTACTAAGTGTTCGCTGTGAGCGTGGTGCTGGGATAAGCACGTCACACAATTATCTCCTTTCATTTTTTTCATCATTTTACAACTGGGCCGCCGAGGCCCAGAAAGGTTACCAGCCTCACCTAAGGTCACACAGCTTTCAGAGCTGGGATTCCAGCACTGGTCTCTCTGACTGCAGAACTGGCATCCTCTTAATCATGGCTCCCTCTCTCCCTTGATGTGTTCACGTTTTTCAGTTTATAGCAAAAAGCCAACTTTAGGCAAACTCATGGCATGATGTTATAAATCAGTCCACTGCATATTTTCTGCAGGTGATGACACACCATGTGAAAAGGAGGGTCCACCACAGGTTTACCTGGCCCACAGCCAATGCAAAATGTCATGCTGTGCACAAATGGAAGGCCACCTCTCTATTCCAACACGGGGTACAGTTGGGGGTCACTGGCCCCGAACCACAGATATGCACGGCTGTGCCAGGGCACACAGCTAGTGTCCGCCCTCACGCCCGCCCTCTCCACGTGTCAGTCATGCAGAGACAAAGGTGATTTGATTACCGCTCGGATCTCTATCCTTGAGAGAGCTGGCCAATCAGGTTTTGCTTCCAATATTTTCTGGACATTTTTTTCCATTCTGAGAGTCTTTAAGTCTAGAAAGGATTCATTCAGGTGGCCTTTCTCATCTAGAAAAGAAATCATTTAGATTCAAAAGAAAGGCTCAGGAAGAAGTTATCGCATGTAATAACCATAGCTACTGTTTCCTGGTCTTGTCCAAGGTCACACAGCTAACGTGAGGCTGCAGCCTCAGGGATGGGGATGGAACTTGAACCCAGGCTTTGGGTCCCAGCCCAGTGTTCCTCCCAGCCTCAAGCTTAGCATCTGGAGAGCCCTATCCCTCTCAACAGGGTATTCTAGGAGGTTCCCCAAGGTTGATCCTTGCACAGTGTTGGTCCCCGACCACAGTAAAATAAGAAAAAGTAGGACAATATGTGGGGTTTCCATGAAATCCTATTTATTTACTATCAAGTTATGCCCTCGACTCTGAGATCATATCTGCCCCCCATTTTTTGGTATTACAACATCATTTTGTTTACGAAATGATAGGAAGACAATGGTCCTGGCAAACTCTTTAGTTCCCAAAGGGAACCTAGCGCCTGAGGCCCACGGCTCGGAGCACAGAGGGGCAGACTAGGAGGGATACTTACTTGCCAAGCAAGCCTTCTCGAGTTCTTTAACCCGCCCCCGGAGCTCCGCTAAGGCCTTTTTCTGACGCTGAATGACTTCCTCGTGTCGGGACCCTTTGCACTTGGCCCCCAGGTCACTGAAGGACTGCTCCTGTGGTGCATGGTACAGACAACAGCTTTACTAGGGGCGGGGAGCTCTCGTACATTCGAAGACACGTGAACAGTTCCTGTACAGCAGAGACTTTGCCACCGATATTGTTAAGGGGTTTCAGCAGAGGAGGAACTTAAATCTTGCGCTTCAAGTACAAGTTCACATCTAGGAAGACTTCCGACTTCCCTCCCTACTTAGCATCACTGTAAACAAAGGTCCCCTCTAGGCTTCCTCCCCACGTTTTGTTTTGTTTATATTTCTTCTAGCTTGAGTTTCCCTTTGTTGTCAATCTGGTCTCCTCTCGGAACGGCACCTCGAATGCTGCTCCAGAGGGGCGTTTTCAGATGAGAACACAGACACTTGCTCCTTCACTGGTAATGAGGATGGCTATCTAATATCTGCTAGGGAGCTTGATGGGCAGGCTCTCGGCTCATCTGGAGCGGAAAAGCTTCCTCCGAGGTTTCCAGAGCCTCTAGAACAGCGCCGTCTGACCGACTGTCTCCTGTGATGGACGCGTTCTGCCCCGTGCAACCTGGCAGCCGGCAGCCACGTGGCCAGCACAGGGCACAGACGAGGAAAGATCTTCCTTCTCTCTCAAGGGTCATGCACCCCTTTGAGATTCAGAAGAATGCAGGGCCCTGGCTGGTTTGCTCAGCAGTTAGAGCGTCGGCCCGCGGACTGATGAGTCGCGGGTTCGATTCTAGTCAAGAGCACGTAGCTTGGTTGCAGTTCGTCCCCGGCCCTGGTTGGGGTCGTGCAGGAGGCAACCAGTCGATGTGTCCCTCTCACATTGATGTTTCTCTCTCTCTCCCTCTCCCTCTATCTGAACAAAACTGGAAAAATGTCCTTGTGTGAGGATTAAAAAAAAAAGAAGAAGAATGCAGGGTTCCTTCTTCCAGAAAAATTCATGTATGCCCAAAAAGTTCTGGGGGTTCAGGGGCCCCTATCCCTGAAGACCAGTCATGGACTCCAAGCTAAACAGTACTTCTCTGGGGTAAGCAACTCACTTGTTCACACATTCATTCGTGTCACAAAGATGTATTGAGCACCTCTGTGTGCCAAGATTTAGTCTAGGCTCTGGGGACTCGGCAGTGAATAAAACCTGCAACATTCCTCCCGTCCTGGACTCTGTGTCCCAGTGCGGGGGACAGGCAGTAAGAACCTGCAACATTCCTCCCGTCCTGGACTCTGTCCCAGTGCCGGGGACAGGCAGTAAGAACCTGCAACATTCCTCCCGTCCTGGACTCTGTCCCAGTGTGGGGGACAGGCAGTAAGAACCTGCAACATTCCTCCCGTCCTGGACTCTGTCCCAGTGTGGGGGACAGGCAGTAACAACCTGCAACATTCCCCCCGTCCTGAACTCTGTGTCCCAGTGTGGGGGACAGGTAGTAAGAACCTGCAACATTCCTCCCGTCCTGGACTCTGTCCCAGTGCGGGGGACAGGCAGTAAGAACCTGCAACATTCCTCCCGTCCTGGACTCTGTCCCAGTGCGGGGGACAGGCAGTAAGAAAGATAAGCACGAAGCATGGGACGTGGACAGCGGTGTTGAAGATGTAGACAGAGCTTCTCGGGAAGGTGCCAGTCGAAATGGCAAGAAAGGGAAGGAATGGACAATTTGGTTCTTTTATAACAATTTTAAAAATAACAATTTTGGTTCACTTCATACATTCAGGAAAAAAAAAAAATATATATATATATATATATATATATATATATATATATATATATAGCCAAACACTGTTTCAGGCAGTAGGGAGAACTGGAGCCAGGCAGACAGGCCCTGCTGCTTGGGGCTCACGACCAGTAAGCAGACAGACAGGCAAACTATTCCAGAACATGGTAGATGCTCCCAGGAGAACACAGTTCTTCCTCTGAATCCTCAAATGCTTATTCGAGGCTGTTTGACAGGTCGCAGTCCCTATGGTAGCCACGCTGGCCCCCGAGGATACAAGCCCACGGCCTCCCTGGAGGAGCCCAGCAGCCCATCTGAGGTCTTCCTGGGGCTGCAACCCGTACAGCCCACCCTCCACTTACCCCTTCCCTCCCGTGCCCCAGGCTCGCCCCAAGCCGCCCTGCCCCCTTGCTCAGAAAGAGCAGCCCCGTGCTACTCCCTGTTCTGCGTCCTGCCGTGCATTTCCTTGGAGCACTGTTCCCACTGGGCATTTTGTTTGACGCTGACTTGTTTGCTGCCTGCCCCTCCCTTCCCGGAACGTGGGCTCTGTGGACACAATCTTTGTCTCCGCTCTAGACTGTGCCCGAGCACCAGGGACGCTCAGTACACATGGAGCCTGAGCGAACTGAGGTTAGAAACAGGAGCCGCAGGAGCTTGCCCTGCTTTCTGGCTGGGACCGGGGTTCAGCAGCCAGGAGAAGGGTTGCTCCGCCTGGCTGCACCCAGTAGGACCTCATTTGGCCCGGTCCCTGGCTCTGGTCTGCTCTCAGGAGGCACGGCTGGTCCCCTGTCAGTTCTACACTGGCCTCGCTCTCTTTGAGGGTGTGTTTACCTTGGGAGTAAACACCTGAAATGTTCGTGTGTGCATGCGCACGTGTGAGTGTACGTGCATGTGTGTGCACATGTGTGTGCACATTGTGTGTGCGCACGCGTGTGCGAGCATGCATGTGTGTGTGCACAAACATGTCTGCAGTGTGTGGAGGGGAGGGCAGGAGATGCTGACCCTGGGGAGGGGCAGGTGGCTGCGAGGCTTGGTGGCAGCCTTCGCCCCGCATGAAGAACACGCCTGAGTGCGACGTGACCCGAACTCATGGCCCTCCTGGGAACTTGTTTGTTTAGAGAAGATGGAGATTCTTTCTCATACAACGCTTGAGCCCTCTGACCCACTCTGGCTTAGAAGGCAGGAAGCGGCTGGAGTGTGGAAACCGTTCTGAGGAGGAACAAATACTTTTTTCCTTTCATCTAGCAGTCTCCCTGCTCCTCTGCTGATCCCGCCCCACAGTGAGAACTAACAATCCTGGGGACCAGTCAACAACCCGTCTCAACAAACACAGCGGAGTTGGAGGGCTCTGGCGCGGGCAGACACCCGGGCGTCCTCCTCTGCTCCAGCATAGGACCTGCATACAGCAGGCGCTCAGCAGCTGTTGCCTGGGCAGACGGGCGCGGGCCGGGTCTTACGCTGAGAGCTGGGGACTCCAGCAGCAGCGAGCCCCACTCTCGGCCCCGGCGCGCAGCCCCGGCTCGAGGCCACCCCGAGCAGCGGGAGACACCTCTGTGAAAGCACTCTGGATGTGGCCAGTGCCAAGGACAGCTGCCGGCCGCCAAGCCCTGCCCTCTGAGCCGTGTGCGGCCTGGCTCCCTGCTGTTTGGCAGCGGAAAGGCATCTTTGAGGAAGCAGGAAGGCAGGATGACACATTTGGCCCTGTTTCCAAGAGCACATCCCAAGCCCATGACTAAAACTAGCCCTGCGTTCTAGTTTCATAAAGCAAAGGGGGAAGGGACCTCTGGGACCCCAGGGACCCCAGGGCCCTCCAGGGAGCACCGACCCGCAGTGACCCTCAGTCAGCCAGGCACGGATGATGGGAGTATCCCAGCCACGGGGCCAGAACGTGAGCCCCACCTTCGAGGGTGGCGCGATTAAGGCTCTCGTCACTCAGACACACGCCCGCTTTGCTGCACAGCGATAGCGTCGGGACGCGAAGGTTTCTGGGCGGGCACCCGCGAGAAGTGGCCTCTACACAAATGGCACTGCGCTGGGGACGGCAGTCGGGCCCCATCAAGCACAACTCAGGAGGTCCTCTGGACCCCGCAATTTCATGTCTAGCAATTCGTTCCACGAATGTGTGAGGATATTAACGACAGGAACGTGCGAAAGCAGAAACCACCTAAGTGTCCATCGACGGGGCCACGTGGACGGGAGGGACACAGTGGAATTCTATGCAGCCATGAAAGAAGGAGGGAGCCCTGGCCGGTTTGGCTCAGCGATTAGAGCGTCGGCCTGCGAACCAGAGAGACCCGGGTTCGGTTCCCATTAAGGGCACGTACCTCGGTTGCAGTTTGTCCCTGGCCCTGGTTGGGGTCCTGTGGGTGGCAACCAGTTGATGTGTCTCTCTCACATCAATGTTTCTCTCTCTCTCTCTTCCTCTCCCTCTCCCTCCCACTCTATTTGAAGATAAATGCAAAAATGTCCTTGGGTGAGGATTAAAAAATAAGAAAAAAAGAATGAGGTATATCTTCTGTACTTATTGGAAAAGATGTTATGTGTTATGTGTGTAAGTGTGTGTGGGGGACCCAATTTATAGAATATATATGGCTTGATACCATTATTTTGCAAAAAAAAGATCAAGTAAATAACTATATGTACAAGGTGGGCAAAAGTAGGTTTACAGTTATGAGTATATAAAACAGAGTTTATCCTTTTTTTTTTTGTCCTCGCCCAAGGATATTTTTTCCATTGATTTTTAGAGCAAGGGGGAGAGACAAAGAAAGGGAGAGAGGAAGATAGAGAAACATCGATTGGTTGCCTTCTGCACGTGTCTCGACCAGGGCTGGGAATCGAACCTGCAACCCAGGTACGTGCCCTTGACTGGGAATCAAACCCAGACCCTTTGGTCTGCTGGCTGATGCTCTCACCACTGAGCAACACTGCCCAGGGCCAGAGTTTATTCTCCTATTATTACTTATTAATTATTGTATTATTTTCTATCCGAACAACTGTAAACCTGCTTTTGCCAACCCCTGTATGTATAGGTTTGTGTGTGTTTGTGTTGATACATTTTATCATGAGGTGCTACGTGACGGGCATTTCTCCGCCGTCCAGATGAGGGAACTGGCTCACAGACTCTGAGAGAGGACCTGGCAGACCCGTCGAGCCTGGTCTTCACCCACCGCACAGCCATGGCTGAATGAGGATGCCCGGGTCTGCTGGCACACGCGCCAGCCTGCTGACGGCTGTAACCCCTGGTGACGGCAGCCCGGAAGGCAGGACTTCTTTTTTACTCATACATGGCGCTGGAGCAAGGGCTATTTTTGGAATGGAGAATGAGAATGTTTTCAAAAGCAAAGAAAGCCACCACTGGGCTCCGTCTTCCTTAGCCTGTCCTGGGTGCCCGGGACCGGGCGGGCACTCACCTCCTGGCTGCTCATGAAGATATCGGTGTGGATCGGTTCGATCTGCACCGAGATGTCACACATCTGGGTCGCATTCCTGGGCTTCTGCTCCTTCTCTTTGTGCGGTTGGAGCCTGTGTTTCTCTTGGGAGGCTCTAGGGCAGAGAAGAGGAGTCACTGGGCGGCACCAGGTTCCGGGAACCCCGGCCGAACAGGAAGAGGAACTCCATTTTACAGCTAAGGGAAGTCTTCCAGCCTTCGAGTCTCCCAATCGACCGCTAGAGAATCTAGTCTCAGGGGACTTGCAGGAGAGTGGCCAGGGCAGTGGGCACCTCCGGGCCCTTGCTTCCCACCTGGGTCCATGGGACCCCTGCATGTCTTAGCCCTTCTAGCTCTCAAAACAACCCCATGGCCTGGGGACTTTCCCTGCCCCGTTTTACAGACAGGGACCGAGACACACAGCAATTTGCCTGTGGTCACGGAGCTCCTGAGTGGAAACGCCTGGCTTTGAACCCAGACAGCCTGGGTCTGGAGCCTGTTCTTTTTTATTATTATTAACTAATTATTTTTTTTATTATAGATGTCGCTCCTTTTCCTCCCATTGACACCCTCCTGCTGGCTCCAGCCCCTCCCCCCTGACCTTCACCCCGCTGCTGTCTGTGTATTGGTTGTGCATGTATGCGTGTAAGTTCTTGGGTTTATCCCTCCCTGCCCACCCCGTCCCTCTGAGTTTTCGGTCCGTTCCCTACTTCCACGTCTCTGAGTTTATTTTGTTCATCAGATTATTTTGTTCATTATTTTCCAGAAATAAGCGAGACCACGTGATATGTGTCTTTCTCTGACTGGCTCATTTCGCTTAGCATAATCCTCCTTAGGTCCCTCTGTGTCGTCTCAAAGGGTAAGAGATCTTTCTTACAGCTGCATAGTATTTCATTGTTATACGTACCACAGCTTTTTCACCCACCCATCTGCTGATGGACACTTGGGCTGTTTCCAGATCTTAGCGACTGTCAATAGTGTAGAGCCTGTTCTTTTAACCCCTGCGTGAGTCTGCTTTGGCCATGAGCCACAAGGCACATGAAGCTGCAGGTCTACACAACACAGCAACGTTTCTCAGACTTTCTTGGGAAAGCATTATTTTTATGTCAAAATATAGTTAAGTGCCTGGTCAGTATGGCTCAGTGGATGAGCGTCGACCCATGCAGCAAGAGGTCACCAGTTCGATTCCCGGTCAGGGCACATGCCCAGGTTGTGGGCCTGGTCCCCAGTTGGAGGCATGCAGGAGGTGGCCAATCAATGTTCCCTCATTGATGCTTTTATCTCTCCCTCTCCCTTCCTCTCTCTCTAAAATCAATAAAGAAAAAAAAATGTGGTTAAGCTATGAATAAAAATGCTAAGTCACGTATTTTTTTAGAGAAATCCGTGGGATGGGGATAGTTTATATGTATGTTAAGCTGACCTCTGACACCCCCGGTTCATACATTTGCAGTAAGTATTTATTACTTTCCCATTGCTCGAATGCTGGGAGGCACTACCAGGCACGGTCCATGCAGACGGTCCTCATGGGGAAGGCAGACAATTAAATAGGCAAGTGAACACAGGTCCACTTCCGCCGCCTGCTTCTGCATCTGTTTGTCTAAGGCTGTTCTAAGTGAGGTTAGGTGAAGGGCTGGGGCTGACGGACCCCAGGCAGGGCCAGGGGCCCTTGTCTATGTTTGGGAAAGGTGAGTGACAACGGGCTTCCTGGAGGAAGTGGCATTTAAGCTGAGACCTCTCATCTGGAAAATTGGACAGGAATGTTTGAGAAGCACAGAACTAAGCAAAGCCCTGTTTTAACTGATGAGGCTGTGAAGCAATGAAACACATGTCATTCATTCGTTCGTTCGTTCGTTCATTCATTTGTTGTTCGTTGATTGATTGATTGATTGATTCATCTATCCATCCATCCACCCATCTATCCATCCATCCACCCAACCCTTCAATCAGCACTTACTGAAGCCCCTCTCTGTGTGAAAGGTTCCTGGGACACTTGAGTGTGCCTGGGCTCCGCATGCCATGCAGCCCTTCCCACATACCTGAGTGCCTCCTTGAGCACCTCCAGCTCCCTGTCCTTCTTCTCCACCAGGCTGGTCATCTGTGCCACCTTTTCCTTGAGCACACTCAGTTCATGGTTTTGCTGTTGGACCAGGGCCACATTCCTCTCCAGTTCCACCTTCTGCTTCTCGTTAAGCTCCCCTGGGAGTGACATGGAAGTTGGTGAGGGGATGTTCTGCCCGGGTCTCTGCTAGGGCCACAGCGGATTTGCCAGGGTCCGAGAACCAGGAGGAGGGTCCACCCTCCAGGAGTTCCCTGGGGGCTTCGGCAACAGCCAGGAGGTCTGCTTGCACCTGAGCAAGCAGCACACTGCAGTGCTCTGAGTGAGCGCTGGCTCCCTGAGGACCGTTCCTGCCTTCCCCGTGTCACACCGGCAGGTGCTGTCCGTCCCTGCCCGGACCTGTGGCACTCTACGGGACTCTGGTCCACTTTCACCACCTGCTTCTGCATCTGTTTGTCTAAGGCTGTTCTAAGGCCTCTGGAACCTGCTCTGCTTATGTGTCCGCCAGGTGCAACGGCCTCCAACCGATGGCAGGTGGAGACGAGTACGCAGCTCAGCTCCCTCGCCCGCAGGGGGGCAACCGGAAGGTCTGAGCTTGGAGTTGATTCACCCTGCTCTAGGTGGCCCTGATGTGCACGTCAACCTTGGGAGCAGGTGTGTCAGGTGGTTTTGCCCAGAGACAGTACCTGGCCCTGGGTCCCAAAGCTGGTGAGGGCTAGGGCTTGTTCAGGTGGCCCAGCCCCAGGAGGGAGCCTTTGCTCCCAGAGACAAATTCTCAGGGGTAAAAGGAGATCCTCCCCACCCCCCGAAAGAAAGCTGCACTTCATCGCAGAGGTCCAGAGCCCTCTGGAGAATGTCCCCCGGCCCTGGGCATGGAGTCGGTGCCACAGCCCGGACATTGCTTTTGCTGACCGGCAGAAACGCTGCAGCAGCCCAGGGAGGCAGAGCGAGGGGCATTTCTAGTGCCAGGCTTTCCAGCTCCTCAGCCCTGTTCTGTCCTGTTCTTTCCTTGCTCGAAGTGGGTCAGGAAGTCAAGAGGCACAGGCAAGCCGACGAACCTCTCAGATCCGACATTCGGCCATGGGCTTCGGTGAGGTTTTTCCTTAAGCCCACGATGACCTCCTGCTGAGACAGGATTTCCTTCTGCGCCATCAGCAGGTCCTCTCTGAAATGGACAGAAGCAGGCAAAGTCAGCCAGCTCAGTCTGGGTGGTGTCTTGAGCGGCTGGAAGGGGCCGAGGACACATGCAAAGTGATGTGCCCCAGTAACGGTCCGTGTGGTGCTGGTCCCAGCAACGGGGGTAAGCGCATGCTTTAAAAATCCTCAAAACGAGAATTCATCCTGGTGTACCATCATTAGAAAGACCCCGAGATGGAACAAGGGGCCCGCAAGCGTCTGTCAGCACGGATTGATGGGCTCTTGGACTTTCGACCTTTGGTGGAAAGAGGAAGGAGATGACTTGGTTTTGGTCTCTTGTGGGCTCAGATACTCTGGAGAGGAGGAAGGTGAGAGGAGGAACCGTGACTTCTGTTCGCTCACCAGCTGGGGTGAAAGAATGGTGTGCACGGGGCCCTTCGTGCAAGTGTGGGCTTTGGGACCCAGGTGACCACAGGGGACACAGGCAGGTGAGAGAGGATGGCTCCTCCCCACCACACCTAGGGGACATGCTGGGCACCACCCGCTCAGGACGGTCGACAGGGATGGCATGCCCAGCGAGGGGTGTTCCGTGGGAAAGGGCCCCGCATAACAGGTGGGGGTTCAGTGGGAAGCACGGGGGATGTGTTTCTGAGCAAGTGTGAGCCACCTCAGCCCTGAGGAAGGCATGTCGTGTGTGCATACGTGTGCGCGCATGTGTGCACGTGAGTGTGCATGCATGTGTGTATATGTGTGCATGCCTGTGCATATGCATGCATGTGCGTGCATGTGCGTGCATGTGTGTGTGTGTGTCCATGTGAGTGCATGTGAGTGTGCCCAGGGAAAAGCTGAGGTCTCGCACATTCCAAAGGGGGTTAAGAGCCCCTGGACAGGAATTAATGTCATTTCATTTGAGTTCACAGGTTTTTAAAATCCAGACTCTTCTTATATAGACATTTGAAGGTAGAGTGTGTGTTTATTATGAAAGAAAGCAAAATACTGCCATGTTGCATGTCGTAACAAAAAGATTGGTAATCATTAGACAGGAAAGAACTATATGTGTATTTACATATACAGATATATGTATGCGTGTCTATCATTCTCTCTCCCTCTCTCTCTCATCCCTTTAGCTATAACTCTTCCAACTTGAGGGTGAAACGTGAAGACTCAGGAGTGTCTGTAAGCGAAAGACCGGGACAGAGGAGCGATGTGGGTGCTGGCTCTCCTCCAGGTCACTGCTCCCTGGCGTCCTCAGAGAGCGTCTACCAGGAGGAGTCCGCGAGGAACTTTTCCGGATGCAGAGCCTGGGTGTCGCGGCCTTTGGGGGCTTAAGAACCCTGTGACATCAGACTGCAACTAGAACTCGGCTCAAGGCTGCTGGGCTGCCTTCTGTCCGAACCTTCCTGAGTCCCTTCCTGAATCCAGGAGCGCCCTTTCCTGTTTATAGGCTGCCTGGTGGTGCCTTTCCCCACCATGGGCTTTGCTTCTCTGGAAACTGTCAGTTCCTGGAGGCTCAAGATACAGACTTTTGGGCTGGGAGGGATCTTCAGGGTCATTCAGTCCCACCTCTTAACCTGTCTCCCCCTCTAGGACCTGTCCACCAAGTGACCTCTGCGGCTTGAACCCGCCACTCTCTGCTTGCCTCGGGCAGGTGCTGGAAAAAACAGCTCACCATAGCGTCAGCTAGATCTTATCGAGTGACTTCTATGTGCCCGGCACGAACCTCCTTATTTTAAAATCAAGGAAGCTGAGGTCAGGCGAGGTGACGTGACTTGCCTAGGATCCTGCCACTGGAGAGGGTTGAGTGGGGATTTGAACACAGACCCACCTTGGTTTTTTCAGGACCCCATCCTGACTTGCTAAAAGCATCGAGAAATTCAAATAACAGCAAGAAGACTCCAGACCCGATTCCTTTTTGCAGATTCCAACCATGTGGCCAGAGAGGGGGTTTGGCTTGTCTTTGCTCACGTGCGTGCCAGGGAGGGTGTTCCAGCGCTGACGTGCCCTCTGGGTACTCACATCAAGTGGTCACACACTGCGTCCTTGGCGCTGCTCTCCAGTGGGGGCCCCGCTGGACAGTCTTGCTGTGTGTCCTTCTGGGCTGAATCAGAGGGGCACGGGACTGTCATTACAATCCTGCAAGGATGCTTCTTCCTCTGCTGCTGACTAACCCGACGCACCTGCACCTTTCCCCACTTTCGTTTGTTTGTTTGTTAGTCCTCACCCGAGGATCCCTTTCCACTCATTTTCAGAGGGGAGAGAGAGAGAAACATTGATGTGAGAGAGACACATCGGTTGTCTGCCTCCTGCATGACCCTGACCAAGGCCAGGGATTGAACTGGCAACCCAGGTACATGCCCTTGACCGGGAATCAAACCCATGACCCTTTGGTCCATGGGCCAATGTGCTAACCACTGAGCCAAACCAGCCAGGGCTCTTTCCTAACTTAAAAAATTTTTTTTTCTTTATTGATTTTAGAGAGAGAGGAAGGGAGAGGGAGAGAGAGATAGAAACATCTATGAGAGAGAACATCTGTTGGCTGCCTCCAGCATGCCCCCTCTGGGGATCGGGCCCACAACCTGGACATGTGACCTGATGGGGGAATCGAACCGGCGACCTCTTAGTGCAGGGTCGACGCTCACCCACTGAGCCACACCAGCTGCGGCTCTTTCCCAACTTTTAAACTCTCCCCACACCCTGCAGCCCTCTCCCCCTAATGAAACCCACCGTGTGTTCTGTGTCACTGGCTGAGGACCCCCTCTCCCGGTGAGCTCATGAAATCTTCCCCCTACTTGAAGGCACAGATCGTGAACTCCATACCGATGGGCACAGGAGTGACTCAGCAAGCTGGTGAGAGGCGGAGCCCGAACCACGGGCTCACACCTCCTGCGCTAGTCCCTCCTCTCCACTCGGCCACTGCTTTCTGCGCCCGCCTGCACCGCCCAGCCCCGTGCCCATCCCTCACTTGCTCGTTCAGCGGTCCAGCGCTTATGGCAGGCACTCATCTGAGCGTGGGGTGACACAGGCGTGTCACTCTTCAGGTCCCAGCTGAAGCACCCTTCCTCTGACCTGGACCTGGGGTGGGGAACTGAATCCTGCTCCACGCCCTTGCCATGGTGCCCTGCTCATCCTGAGTCGCCTGTCAGGGTAGTCATCTGGTTAACTGTTAACTGCAGGGACCCTGCCTGCCTGCCCGTCGCTGAATCCTCAGTGCCTTGAATGAGTCTGAAACGAATAGATGCTCAAGTAAGAGTGTCGAGTGCAGCCCTGGCTGGTTTGGCTCAGCGGTTAGAGCCTCGGCCTGCGGTCCAGAGAGACCCGGGTTCGGTTTCCGCTAAGGGCACGTACCTCGGTTGCAGTTTGTCCCCGGCCCTGGTTGGGTCGTGCGGGTGACAGCCACTCGATGTGTCCCTTTCACGTCAATGTTTCTCTCTCTCTCTCTCTCTCTCTCTCTCTCTCCCTCCCTCCCACTCTATCTGAACAAAAAATGAAAAAACGTGCTCGGGTGAGGACAAAGAAAAAAAAGAAACAGACCCTGGCTGGCTTTGAAAGTGCCTTAGACAAAGCCACAAACTGCAATGGCAGAGGGAAGCCTCAGAGAGGCCCCTGTGCGGGAGGTTTCCCGGCCGACAGGACGCGCTGCTCCCACGCCCTAGGAGCCGGCAGCCTGCACCCTCTGGCTGACTGTCGGCACAAAGGCCTTCCCGACTCATTGCTGTTACCTCCTGGGCTTGGGGGCCCCTAACCTTGTTGTGTAACAAGGACAGAAGGGGCTCCGGGGAGTAAGTGAGCTTCTCAGGGAGCGGAGCGGTCTTCTCCACCAGCCCCGTGGGGCCCACAGGGACATCAGAACCCGCCCTCACACTAAGATCCACTCCTGGGCTCTTTGGACCTACCCGGGTCATTGTCCTTCAGAGTTGCGATCTCCTCTTCTATTTTCTTATGGTGTTCAGTCACTTTTCTGAGTCGTTTTTCTAGACTCACGATCGTCTGGGAGTGCTGTTTGATTTGCTCCTTGTATTCCAGGATTTCTTCCTCAAATCCGTGTTTCTGTGATTCTTGTTCTTCTCGGAGGGCCTTGATGGTCTGCTGTTGCAGCTGTATGCGCCCCTCCATCATGATCTGGGGAAACAGGCACGGTTAATGGGATCTTGGGGGCCTGCTTGAACAATAACGGCAGCAACGACATGTCCCCTTGGCACCCACAGGCACTGTGCCCTCTGCATGGTACACTGCTCCCTGGCCCCTTGCACGGTTGGTTCCTTCCTGTGTCTCAGGTCTCAGCACCAATGCCACCTCCTCAGGGAGGCCCCCCTTGACTGCCTAACAGCAGCCTGAGACCCTTTCTATTCCATCCTCCTGTTTTGTTTTCTCTGAGGCACGTATCACCTTCTGAATTATCTAGTTTCTTTATGTCTCACTCCCGCTAGAATGTAAGCTCCGTGAGAGCAGATACTTACCTTTTTTTTTCTTTACCAATAGCCCCCAGCCTCATCAGTGCCTAGACCCCTGCCATAGTATGGGAACTAGATGCTCAGTAACTATTCATTGAATTAATGAATGAACAATCTTATAAGAAAAAAGTGGGTGCGTTTGCATTTTCTAAAAACCAACAATTACCAGTGGTCCCTTTCCTGGGACGCCCTGTCCTCCCCACGCTCATCCCCACGCTCCTCCCCACGCTCCTGTCCCAGCACCTCCTCCTGGCCCCATCCTGCCTCTCCGGCCAGCTTGCCGCCTGCTCCCCAGTGAGCTCGTCCCCCTGCTCCCTGTTCCCAGGTGCGTGCTGGGCCTCCTGAGAAACCCACCCGCGAAGCCTGAAGGCAGTTTTGGTTGGCACGGCTGTGGGGAGGGCGCCCCTGGCACCGGGCGGGTAGAGACCAGGGACGCTGCTGGACGTGCTGCAGCACCCAGGACGGCCCCACAGGAAACGCACGGAGGGACGCAGCAGCGCCGGGCCGAGGACCCCGCGCCGGGAGGACACTTCTCCGGCCTCTTACCGTTTTTGTCTTGGCCGTTTCCAGCTCGGCTAACGTCTCGTTTAACTTCAAGGCGAGACCCTCTGCTTTCCGACTCTCGGCCGCCTTTGTTTTCTGAGTCTCTTCCACCATGGCCAGTGCGTCGTTCAGCTTGTCATTTAGAGCATCTTCTCTTTGCAGCTTCAGATCCATTTCCTAGACAAAGGACACAATCAAATCGACGGAATTCAGGAAGGCGCCCCCCACCCCCCGTTTTCAGACGGGAGGTGAGCCCCGTGCTGTTTGCGTTCCGTCCTCGACTGCTGTGAAGCCCGCAGCCCGGCCTTCTCTGGAAGGGTCCAGTCCGTACAGAACTCGCGTGTTCAGCTGACGCCTGTCTCCTTGCCGCTTCTGGCTCCGATGTCAGGGCTGTCGCCTGGAGCTCACCGAGCACGTTTTGTTCCTTGTTCGTGAGCGAGCCCTTCACACACGTGAGGGAGGCTGCCACGTCTCCACGCAAATCTATTTTCCAGGAGAAGCGTGGCCAGTTCCGTCACCCCTGGTCACAGGACCTGCCTTTAGGACACCGCTCCACATTGTGCTGAGGTTTGGGCCCCGGGATGACCTCCCCTCCCGCCTCGGGCCCTGGGCGGGACCAGCCCATCTCCACATCCGTGAGCATCCTGTCCTTCCTCCCGGAGCCCAGAGCCCGGAGCCTGGAGCCCGGAGTCCGGAGTCCCTCCTCAGACAGAGTGCCCGTGGGCTTAATGACGGCTGTGCTGGGGCTTGACAAACTTCGTGTGTTTATTTGACTTCTGACTTTTTTTTTTGGAACAGGTCTAGGTTTAAACAAAATCGAGGGGAAGGTACAGAGAGTCCCCAAATCCCCGCCTCACACCTGCACAGCCCCCCCCATTATCGACGGCCCCAGCAGACGGTCCACTTGTTACAGTTCATGACCCGCACTTATGACAGCGTCATCACCCAAGTCCATCCTGTGCACAAGGGCTCACTCTTGGGGCACATTCGTGGGTTTGGACAAATGTGTAAATGACATGTGTCCAACGTTACAGTGCCACTCAGAGGATCCTCACCGCCCTGACACGTATCTGCCGTTACAGTGTCACTCAGAGGATCCTCGCTGTCCTGACACATGTCCAACGTTACAGTGCCACTCAGAGGATCCTCGCCGTCCTGAAAACCCTCTGTTCTCCCCCTGCTCCTCGGCCCCCCACCGAATCCCTGATTTTTTCTTTGTCTCCATAGTTTGTCTCTTCCAGAATGTCACGCAGTTGGAATCGAACGGCAGGCAGACTTTCCACTGACACTATCGAATCGAACCTAAGGCATGTTCCTCAGCTGTAGTGCTGGACGTTCTCCGTTGGCGCCAGTGTGAACTGCACGACCTTTCCGGGGGCTCATCGGGGAACATGTATCATGAGCCTGAAAATGCTCGCACCCTGTGACCCAGTAATTCTACATTTGGGAGTTTATTAGAAGGACACAACCCCAGTCGAGCACAAATACTGAAATGGGGTGGGGTCCCTCCGAGCACCTTGCACTCGGGTGAAGAGTGAGAAGCAGTCCCGGTGCCCCATCGCAGGCAAGGGGGGAGGAATCGGGGTCCACCCAACACCGTGCACACCCGGTCACCCTTCAAGGGCAGGTCGTAGAGGGATGTCCAAGGACATGGAGACCTTTCTAGAGTGTCCCGATCAGCCTGCACAGTTGGAGTGGGAGGCTCTTCATGAGAGATCGGTATTTGTCGTCTGCAATCATCAACATAGAGACAGTCTGGGAGGAACCACATGCCACTCGGGGTAACCACTCCAGGGAATCACAGGCACTTTTTATTTTCTTCTAAGCGATTTCCTGTATTTTCCAAATTTTCTAGAGCTAACAGGTGCTCCTTTTGTAATTGGGAAAGGAAACTGATTTTTTTTTTTTTAATGAAAAACAAACACCATTTTCATCATGCGATGCCCTCACCGGGGGGTCACCTCATTCTCTCAGCATCACCACTGAACTCGGATTCTTTGGGGGTGATTCTTAACATTGTCGTTACCGCTGAGAAGTCCCAGGGTGGACCATGCGCGGACCTGGCCTGAGGAGATGCTCCCGGGGCCCCTGGCAGGTACCCCACAGAGCAGCCTGTCACCTGCGGCTACTGGGAGACCCTCCAGGTAGGTGTCCCACGGAATCCATCCCAAACAGAGGGGTTTCTCTGACAGGCCAGGAAGCTGTAGGACAAGCTGCCCCGCCGCTCTGCTTCCCGCAGCTGCTGAGCAGCTTACTCAGGACAACACTTCCTCCTCTCTCTTATATAAACCCCGTTTCAGCCCGTGTAGACGAAAGCAATGTCTCAATCGCCCTTCCGCGAATACAGCGCCAACGAATGAGCAACTCTGTCTGAGTGTCCTTGACCTTGTGGTTCCTTGACCTTTGCTGCAACGCAGTCCTGTTTTCTCCTTGCCTGGTGAGATGCCACCAGCCTGCCTTGAGGGCTGTCACCAGACCCCACCCTTTGATGTCATCTTGGTCTGAGGTGCTCTTGAAGACACTGTCAACTGCGTTACAGAGACCTCCACGAGATGTTCCTCAAGACACATTCTCTCTGGGTCCAGTCCCAGGAACGGTCCAACTTTCATGAGCAACTGGTCTATTTTCACCTATGAATTGCACAACCAACCAGTCTTCCCCTTCACTGTAACTGTTAGAATAAAAACTGTGACCCATTCATTGATTTCATCACACACACACACACACACACACACACACACACATTTGCATTAGTCTCATTCCTGATCCATTTTATGCCCCCAACTAATCGACTTAAACAGTTTAATTTCTCCTTTTCTCGTACCCCTAAAGGAAGTCTTTCGTGGACGATCCGTGTTAAGTCACTTGGGAAGTCAGGGCTGCTTGTCCTCGGCCGTCTCTCAGCCTGCGGGGTCCTGCCTGCTCCCAGGGAGTCAGTCCTCCATCACTTCCCCGACTCTGGTCTGCCTGCGCTGGACACACCTTCCAGTGCCCGGGACGGACACGCAGTCCAGATGTGGTTCCCTGACTCGTCTCCCGCGAGCACTGGTTTCCAGGTGCACCAGCACCCCTTGGACTGCTTGTTTAAAATGCAGGTTCCTGGGCCCCCCTCCGGACAGTGAGTCTGAACCTCTGGGGTGGCAGGGTCCCAAAAATGGGCACTTGAAGCAAACTGTTCAGTGACGCTATACATGCTGATGCCCGGGAACCTGTCTTCGAAGAAAATGACCCAGCACTGATGTGAGCAGGCTTGTTAGCCCCATCTGGTCCTGAGAGACTCTTGAATTGGCATTTGCCTGCACTCAAATGTAATTTAATCTAAATGTAACCCACCATTATCAGGCTGTGTTTATTGCTTGCTTCAACCTTTTTTTTTTTTTAATATCCTCACCCGAGGACACTTTTCCATCTATCTTCAGGTGGGGGGGCGGGGGGAGAGAAACATCGATGCAAGAGAGACACATCGATTGGCCACCTCCCGCATGACCCCAACCGAGGCTGGGGACTGAACCGCAACTCAGGTATGTGCCCCTGACCAGAATTGAACCCACAACTCTTCTCTCTGTGGGCCAACAATCCAACCACTGAGCCAAACCGGCCAGGACTGTTTCAACTATTGAGAAGTTGGCCATTGTGTGTGTGTGTGTGTGTGTGTGTGTGTCCCTTCTACTGTTGGGACCCAGGAGGAGTGATCTACGTCCTACAGTGTAGAGGTGCCCGAGGCAGGATCAGGTGCCAACTTCTACCCCTACTGCATCTGCTACTCCCAGTAATCATCAGAAATGTGGTTTGATATGAAGGTGACAATCACAAGTTCCGGTGGAGAAATGACGCCAAGGTGAGCACAAGTTCAGCCCCCCCACCCGACCTCCCCGGCAGCCGAGCCCACAGAGCTCGAGGATCAGACAGAGGAGCGGTGCCGATGGAGGGCTCTGGAATCATAATCAGATGGCCCTGGTCTGGATTCTGCCCCTCTGCGAGCTAACAATAAGAATAACGATGATGATAGCAGCAGCCAACACGCGCAGCTTTCGCAGAGCGCCAGGTCCTGTTCCAGGGGCTTCGTGTGTACACGAGCGATCGAGCTCACAGCTCAGTGAGGCTGATCTTTTGATATCGTCTGTATTTCATAAGTGGGGAAACCCAGGCACAGAGATGGCGAGCGACTGGCCTAATGTCCCACAGCCAGAGAGCCGCAGAGGCAGAGCCCAGACGGCTGCCGCCCGAGCCCAGGCTTCCCCGGCGGCTCCGCGGGCGTTCCCGGGGCTCGTACCTCTTGCTGCTGGGTGAGGCGGTTCTCCAGGTCCTGCGCTCTTCTCCTCTCCTTCTCGATGGCCTCCTTCGCTTTCTGTTTCTCATGGGCGATGCTGCTCTCGGAGATCTGGAAGCCGGGGCGCGTGGGTTGAGGGTGCGCACGAGGGAGAGAGGGAAACGGTTGGGTCATTGCTGCAAGCAGTGAGTCGGGGTCCGGAGCACGTGCCCAGGGACCAGCGTGCCCACTGGGGAGAGAGGTGAGGACCGGGCGTCATTCAGGACCTGGGGGCTCGGGGTTCAGGAAGGGTTCAGCTTTGGCGCTGAGCCACTGGGTAAACTGGCAGGTGTCGGCACCCACGTGGGCCTTCTTAGGAGGTGGTGCATGAGACACAGAGCCAGCGGGTGGAGGGGGTTGGGGGGGGGACGGATCACCCCTGTCCCAGCAGGCCTGATGTCTGTGGCTTCAAAGGACACTGGTGGTCTCTACCCAGCCTATAGGGCTTGGGTCCAAAAACTGATGTCCAGGACAGTTTGGAACTGAGAACATACACCCCGCATAGGTCCGGTGCGGGGGGCGGGGGGGGGGGGGGAGTCCAGCCTCAGCCTCACAAGCCCCAGGAGGTCCACAGCGGGTGGGGCTGGGAAAGTCCACTCCCAGCTGTGGGAGTTCCTGCAGTCATGCCCCATGTGTATATAAACTATATGCGTACGTGCACAGACAGACGGCGTGGAGAGATATGCACCAAGGTGTAAATATGGTTGTTTTGGGGGAGCTGGGGTTATGGCAACCTACATATTCTTCTTTTCACGAGTCTGTATCTTCTAAATTTTCTTTAGTGAACATGCATTGTTTGGCAAAATGAAAAACTGCCGGAAATTGTTACAGGGAATGCCATGCTGGGGGTGGGACGAGACTTCAGGGCCGCGTGGCCCCGGGAAAAGACAACCTTCCCCAGCCCCGCGGCTCCAGCAGGGTCAAAGGCCTCTGTCACCAGTCGGCTCTGCTCACAGGCCACCTGGGCTCTGACTCACCTCCCTGCTGGGCTTGGTATTTTCCTACAGTCAAGTCTGCTTAAGAAGGTCCACCCCGCCCTGGCCGGTTTGGCTCAGGGGTTAGAGCATTGGCCCGCGGACCAGAGTCACGGGTTCAATTCTGGTCAAGGGGCACGTACCTCAGATGCAGTTCAGTCCTGTGCGGGAGGCAGCCAATCAATACGTCTCTCTCACATCCATGTCTCTGTCTCTGTCTCTGTCTCTCTCTCCTTCCCACTCTATCTGAAGATAGATGGAAGGTGAGGATTTAATCCTCAAGTGAGGATTAAAAAAAGAAGGTCCAGCCCCCCCGCCGGTGCAAGTTCTGTCTGCTGTGACAGTCCGTGTGGGGAGGGCGCATCCCTTCTATCGCCTGCTGCTTGGCATATTACAAATGACAACAGTACCGCTGACACCGAGCACCCTCTAAGTGCTTGCCGTGCGTGCCTGGCACTGAGCACGGACTGTACTGGTGCCTGTAATCTGCAGCCCCCAGACAGCATCTGCTCAGTTGTCCCCATTTTACAGGTGAGGACATCGAGGCTGCAAGGGAGTCAAGAAGAAGACAGGTAATGTGCCAAGGTCACACACCAGGGTGGTGCAAGCTGGGACGCCAGCGCCTGCCCTCACCCCTCGGACACTGGCCTCTGGACCCTGCCTGCCCTGCCCTGATTCAAACCCCACCCCGCCTGGAGGCAGGGGACACTCGTAGGCTGGCACAGAGCTTGCTACACTGCCCAGCAGGAGCCTGAGCTTCGAGACCCCCCTCCTGGCCCAGCTGTACAGGGATGCTCAGGGGACAGCCGACCAGAGTTTAGGGCCCACCGGTTAAGGAGGCTGGCTCTGTGTGGGCTCCCTCACCCACCTGCACTCTGACCTCACTTCCCTGCATTGACTGGCACAGGCCCACGGCCAAGGTCTTTGCTTGACTGTCCCCCGCTCCCCCACCCTGCTGGGCACAGCATCCTCCCTGCCCCGCCGGGGCTCTGACCTCACCTGGGCAGGTGCTTCACAATGAATGCATTGGCTGACTCCTCACAGTGGAGGACCGCTCCTCTAGGGGGTCCCTGTCACGACACCGATTACAGAGGAGGGCACAGAGAGGGTATGGGCTTGCCCAGGGCCATGCAGCATGTCAGGGCAGGGCTGGGATTTGACCCACAACGGAGCTTTTAGCCCCCCAGGCTCTCCTGCTGGGCCTCGCCTGGCACCCTCTGTGTCTCCCTCCTTCTGTCCCCTGCCCGAACCCGGCTTCTACCTTGTTCCGGCTCTAATTCCGTTCCTTACGCCCTCGTCCCTGCCCCCTAACCCCTGTTCTTTGCACTCGGCCACTTCGTCTAGTGACATTCTCTTCCCCCAGGTACCCCCTCCAGACTCACTCTGAGGTCACCCCCTCAGAGGGGCCCTCCCTGCTCACGCTGTGGAGTCATCCTGTACATCTGTTCGGTGGTGGTCTGTCCTTCCACCCTGGAGTGGGCGCCCAGGGAGGCCCGGCAGGCCTGTCTTGTGTCTTGTGCTTGCCTTTTGTGGCGGCTCGGGGCCCACCCCAGGCTGGTGGGGGAGGCCGGGTGTGGCTGCCTCCAGCTCCCCTGGGCCTGGCGCTCAGTCAGCACCCCTCATCTCCCCCTCTCCTTCCCACCCACCCTCAGAAGGCACCGGCCCTGGTCCCTGGCTGTGACCACCGTGTGCGTTCACTATGTTCCTCTCTCCTCCGCCTGACTGCGTGTCTGTCTCTCGACTGGGAGGCGGGTGCTCTGCTTGCTGGTCTCACGAAACCAGGAGGCCGGGGCCAGAGGGAGCGTTTCCTCCAGACCGTGCTGGACTGCGGCACAAATACCTTCCAGCGATGAGGAGGAGGACGCTGGCTGGGGGACGGACCCAGACTCCAGCCGGGTCACCCCCTGGAGGTCCTCTCTTCCTAGGTGCTCACCCTCAGTGTGCGACACGCAGTTCCAAGGGCTTTGTATCTATTAGCTCATGGGACCTGTGAGGCAGGGTCAGTTACCGCTCCCATTTTACCGACGAGGAAACTGAGGCACGGGAGGGGGAGTGATCTGCCCCAGGTCATATAGCTACTGAGTTGTGCGAGGCGGACGGGCCGCCTTGACTGGCACTGCCCGTGCCTGCCCACTTGACCACCACGCGCTAGCAGGGCGCAGACACGCCTCACGCGTGGCTTCGGACTCGGAGCGCCCTCTCCGGGGCCCCGGCAGCCACGGCCCTCGGCCTCTCTCCGTCGGCTCCTCATACCTCCTTCTGCTGCGTTAAGTGGTTCTCCAGGTCTTGAACTCGCCTCTTTTCTGTCTCTATGGCCTCCTTTGCTTTTCTTTTCTCGTGGCTCACGTTGCTCTCCAAAACCTGAAAATTGACCACCAGGCTTTTGGTTGCCAGCACTTTCAGGGGGACACGCTCATTCTGACGACACGACGAACACCAACAGCGCTAGCCTGCTGGGCGGGGGGGGGGGGGGGGGGGCTCACACGCCAGGGCCCACAGCCGGCACCTCACACACAGTTCAGTCTCACGGCAACCCTATCAGAGGAGTTAGTGGCCCCATTTTATAGATGAGGAAACTGAGGAACAGAAAGTCGGTGCGAAGCCCGGGGTCAGGCAGTTTATTGGTGGTGAGCGGGGATCTGAACCCCGTGCGGAGGCAGGCACGCTGCCCGCCACAGAGGCCCTCGGTAGGCAGCAGGTGGGCAGAGGGAGCCGGGCCTGTCTTATTTCGGAGTCTGAGCTCCCAGCTCTGCGCCAGGCAGCCTCCCTGATAAGAAGCAGAATCTCATTAATAATATAATCCCCATTATTGAAGGAAATCTCTTCAGGAGCATCAGGTTTCCGGAGGAGGGCAGTGCACTGAATTAAGGGGCCACAGCACGCCGACTTCTAGCAGGGGTGGGGGTGGACCTCGCCAGGGGAGCCCGACAGGGACGGAATGGGGTCCCACTCTCAAGACATTTTATTTAGGAAGTGGTCGGCGGACGGGCTATTCCGTTCAATGGCCTAATGCTCATTCCCGAGGGATGGAAATGGTCGCTGCAGGAAGGAGCACCTCAACTCTCAAAGGGGGTGTGTTTGAACCCCAGCTTGACTGTCAGACGTCTGGAACTGGGCACATGGCTTCCATCACTGCCGGTGGTTGTGGTCCTGGATTAGCCAGAATAAAGCACTTACTCCATAACATGGCAGAAGTACTACACATTTAGCAGTGAAAAGTCGCACGAGAAACCCCAAATCCCGCTGTCCCAATAGGAGCCCCGAGCCGAGCCGAGGAGCAGTCACCTCGGGGAGAGTCACACTTAGCTGGAGTGTCGGAGGCGGGTGTCGGAGAAAGACGTTTTCCTGAAATGTGTGCAGGGGACTGTCGGGCACTTTCTAGGGACTCAGGTTGGCTCGGGCACATCTGTCTCAGGCCCACACTGGGGACCTCCCTTCTGTGGCCCCCTGCACGCCTCACACACAGGGCCTGTCCCCTCGGCCACTTGGGACGGTGACGGGAATTAACCTGTAATGTTACCTCCAAACCCACGTTATGATCTCTGTCCTTAAAGATCTGACTGAGCGTGTGGCGGAAACGTAATGAAAAGAAAAATCGAAGAACCGTTTGAGGCTGATGGATGATTGCCTGGGACTTTTCTCTCTGATTCCCATCAGGACACCGGAGAGGTTCTGCCGGGAGAAGCGGGCTGACATTCCCTAGGCCCGGGGTGACCCGGCCACCGCTCCCCCCTGCAACGAGGGTGTCCCCCTGCAAGCGTTCCCTAAATCTCTCTTCTGAAGTCCCCTGTGACCTTGAAATCTCTAAATTCAAGGGCCGTCCCCAGCCTGGAGCTGTTGACCCCTGCATGGCCTTTGGCCCCGGTGAGTCCCTGTGAGACCCTCCTCCTCCTCACCACCCTGGAGAAGTAACTCAGGGCCAGGCCTCAGTGACACTGTTTACAGAGACTGTGGGAACGAGCTGCACGCAGACCCCACGTGAGACCCCAGCACGGCGACACCTCCCTGCCCGGCCGCCTCCTTCGTTCTCCCTCAGTGGTGGGCGGGCAGGGATCTCGCCCCGAGAGCGAGGGTGGGTAGAAGTAACGGTAATGACAATAACAGCTGCGCCTTACGGAGCGATGCTTTGGGTCAAACTCTTTCTGGAACCTTCTCTCGTCCTCACAGCCACCCTTTCTCGAAGGTGCATGTGGAGAAACCGGCTGTGGCTGTCAGCAGCCCAGGAAGGATTTGGACCTGGGTCTCACCGGGCTGCACGGCCTGCTCTCCTCACGGCTCTGTGCTGCCTCGGGACTGAAAGCTAATGGAAGCACTTTGCGGGAGAGACTCAGGGATCTGGGGGTGATCACAGGGCATGTGAGTCAGCATTGTAATGGAGCGTTCCTGAGAGCTATGTGGGCACATCAATAGAAGTATAACGTCTTCAACAAGGGAGGGGAGAGTGCTGCCCCAGGCCACGGTCCTGGCTTCCACACTTGAGGAAGGAATTAGATGGAGGGTTGTAGACTCAGATGCCTATAGAACCCCGGTAGATACCAAAGTGAAGTGGGCTGTAGCGGAGTCACAGGGAGGGCGAGGACAGGGCCATGCCACTGCGGCTCGGTTCACTCATTTCATGTGCACCAAGTGGACACGAAAGCCAGATTTTGGGGCTTTTTGAGAGAGGATGGAAATCTGGATTTTTAAGTGAATTTTATGAATTCGAAATAAAACACTCTAGGGCCAAACATAACATGTCCATGGGCCCTTTCTGCCAAGGAGCTGCCAAGCTGAGGGCAGGTCAGAGGAGGGGCCGAGGCCAGAAACAAGGGCATTGGGTCTGGAGGGGAGCAGCGGCCTCTCGTTCCCAGCATCTCAAAGATCACTGTGTGGATGAGGACGTAGACAGGTCCTGGAAGAGCGCAGTGGGGAGGCAGAGGGCTGCTACCCCTCTGGGAGAAAGAGCGACTCAACTCTGCCCACAGGAAGAATTTCCTGCCAGCCCGAGGCAGCAACCCTGGGATGGGCTGTGGAAAGTCCCCTGGTGGTGGGCTGGAGGCCGGATGACTTCAGGATGCTGTTAGAGGGTTCAGCCCTGAAGCCCCAGAGCTCCGAAACTTCTGCACGTCTGTGCTTTGGGGTGCAATCTTCACACAGAACACACCCATGTCAACAGTCGCAACTCCTCTCCCGAGCCCTGCCTAGGACTATTGTATGCTGGTTGTCAAGGCTACAACTCTGGGGTTCTCTCCTCGAGTCCCCCAGGCGTCTTCCCAAAGGAGCTGAGCCCTCCCAGGGACAACAAGCTCCGCCATGCTCTACCACCACCACGGGGATCTGAACTCACTTCCACAACCCTCCAGCCGCTCAGGGCTCCAGCTGACCCCTCCCCCGGCTGCGTACCTCCTTCTGGCAGGTCAAGCGATTCTCCAGCTCACGCACTCTCCTCTGCTCTTCCTCTAGTGCCTCCTTCACTCTGCGTTTCTCTTGAACAAAGCTCTCCTCCAGCGCCTGGAAGCCGATGGCCGTTGCTTAATAGCCAGTTACCATGGCAGGAGCCTGGACTCCGTGCCAGGCACTGCCTCGGTCAGCCCGTCACAGCTCACAACAACCGCACGGGAGGCGGTGGCGGCCCAGGGCCCGGGACTGGAGGGGGCAGGCCCGGCCGAAGCCCAGGTCAGCCCCTGCTAGGCCTTCAGACCGACTGGCTCCCCGAGCTGCGCACCTTCTTCTGGTGGGCTAAGCGCTTCTCCAGCTCCTGGACTCTCCTCTGTTCTTCCTCCAAAGCTTCTCTGGCTCTGTTTTTCTCTTGAGTAATTCTCTCCTCCAAAGCCTGAAAGTCAATGACTGTTGTTTAATGGGCATGGTTACCATGGCAGGGATCTGGACCCTGTGCCAGGCTCCGCCTTTGTTAGCACTTCACAGGTCACAGAGGCTGGGGCGCTAACCGGCAGGCTCGGGCGAGAGCCTCGGGCCATCCTGCCTGGGTGTGTGGCGCTGGGCAAGTGAGAAGCTGCAGAAGCCTCAGTTTCCCTCTCTGTACAGTGGGGATAGCAACAGTGCTTCCTGCATGGGGTTGGTGTGAGCAGCAGATGAGACGACAAACATGAAATGCTGGGCACACGACCACCATTCATTGCAGAGGCTCATCGTTTCTCCTGTCATCTCTACTTTGCAGAGGAGGAAAAGAGAGAGAGAGAGAGATGAAGGAATCTGCCTGATTTACTAGTAAATAACACGAGCAGGGATTCAAACCCTGGCTCGTTTGACCCTAGAGCCTGTGTTCTGAACCACGGGTCAGTAGACTATGGCCTAGGAGCCAAATCTGGCCCTCGGACTGCTTTTTGTAAATAAAGTTTTATTGGAACACCTCCATGCTCATTGTTTGTGGCTTGCCTGTGACTGCCTTCCCCGTACAACAACAGAACTGAGCAGTCGCCACAGAGACGGCATGGCCTGCAAAACTGAAAATATATCCAATCTGGCTCTTCGTGGAAAAGGTTGCCGACCCCGATCTAAACCATTAGCGTGGGCAGAAATCAGGTGAACGCTGTGAACAGATGATAACACCAAAGAATGGTAGCTCGGTAAAGGAACCTAAAATTCCTTACCATTGAAACACAGTCTTCAAACAAGCCAGGATTCATGAGAAGCTTAATCAATGAATTTTCATACACGTGCTTTCAGAGAAGGTGGCGGTGAAAGTGTCATATGGTACGAAAAAGGTTCATTTAAAATTGGGGAACTATGCCCGGCCGGTGTGGTTCAGTGGACTGAGTGTCATCCTGTGCACCCAGAGGTCACTGGTTCGAGTCCCAGTTGGGGCACATGCCCAGGTTGCGGGCTGGATCCTCATGAGTGGGTGTTCAGGAGGCAGCTGATTAGTGTTTCTCTCTCTCCTTCGCTAAAATCAATAAAACCATATTTGTAAAACTTGGGGCATCTAGTGCTAAAGTCTGGGACAACACTTTTAGATGAGTCCCTGGGGTCAAGCTGATCAACATTAAGTTTCTGGGAGTGATGACCCTTGATGGGATAATAGTGAACGTGAGTAGGGTCATGTCTATCGGGTGGGCACCTGGCTGCTTCCCCCTCTGCAGAGGGTGGTGTGTGCTGAGATTGGTTGTATTTAAAGGGTTTTGCCCTGGCCGGTTTGGCTCAGCGGTTGGAGCGTCGGCCTGCGGTCTGGAGAGTCCCGGGTTCGGTTCCTGCTAAGGGCACGTACCTCGGTTGCAGTTTGTTCCCGGCCCCGGTTGGGGTCGTGTGGGTGGCAGCCACTCAATGTGTCTCTCTCGCATCGATGTTCCAATTACTCTCTTCCTTCCTCTCTCCCTCCTGCTCTATCTGAAGATAAATGCAAAAATGTCCTCGGGTAATGAGGATAAAAAAATAAAATCAAAGGGGTTTGAAGCCTGCCTTCGAAACCTGTCTCTGTCAGGATCGATGTTGTAAGTGGGCATCTGGGAGGCCCCGGCTGGTGCCCAAGGCACCGTGCAACACGGTGGCGTTGAAATACCAGGCACCCACAGTGGAACAAGTCAACCCAATAGTAAAAATAAAATGGGACGTGTGGAAAGGGCGACGGGAACCAGAGAGCAGGAGGAACGGCGGACGGTTCCGCGGAGGTGTGGCGGGCGTGCCCGGCTCTGGTGTCCGGTCTCTGTGGAGCCGCCTGGCTCTTTGTAATGTCACTGCCCTTCAACACCGCCCCTCGGTGCAGGCGTGGCTGCCGATCGGATGTGGCGTTGGTCAGATGGCTGTCCCTTTTCAATCTTTAATTTCAGGAAAGGCAGAAAGGCGGGGAAGGAGGCAAAGAGAAGGAGAGACAGGAGGGGAGAGATTTCTTGAGGTGACTGGGCGTGAATTGGAGGACAAAACGAAACCAGTGGAGGGATGTAGAGGGAGGGGGTGTGTGACAGAACAGACTGAGCGGGAGTCACTGGGCTCTGCCGGGTGAAAGGAGGAGGAGGTGGCAGGTCCAGCCCTCCTTAGGGGAGGAAGGGAGTCCTGGAGAAGGTTCGGTGCAGCTCTCTGGAGAGGGTCGGAGGAGGGGAGGATGGGGCAGAACCACCCGGAGTGCTTACAAATCCTGGTGCATGAGTTACCCCTCACCCCAATTAGGTCAGAACCTGGGGGTGGTGGAGAGATGCAAAGCATTACTATTTTAAAAAAAAATTTTTTCTTTATTGATTTTAGAGAGAGAGGAAGGATGAGGGAGAGAGAGAGAGAGAAACAGCGATGAGAGAGAACATCGATTGGCTGCCTCCTGCATGCCCCTCACTGGGGATTTGCCCTGACCAGGAATCGAACTGGCGACCTCTTGGTGCCTGGGTTGATGCTCAACCACTGAGCCACACTGGCCAGGCAAGAATCTGTATTTTTAACCAGTGTCCAGGTGGTTCTTACCAGGCAACTTTGGGAAAACTCTCCCCTGAGACTCTGCTGCTGGAACGTGGTCTGCAGACCTGTGCCGCAGCATCAGCTGGGAGCTTGTTGGAAATGCAGAATCCGCCCTGGCCAGTGGGGCTCAGTGGTTGAGTGTCATCCCATGCACCGAAAGGTCGCCGGTTCCATTCCCAGTCAGGGCATGTGCCCAGGTTGTGGGATCAAACCCCAGTGGGGGGCGTGCAGGAGGCAGCTGATCGATGTTCTGCTCTCACATCAATGTTTCTTTCTCTCGCTCCCCCCTTCTCTCTCTCTCTAAAAAAATCAAATTATAAAAGAAAAAAGAAATGCAGAACCCCAGGCTCCACCCCAGACCTGTTGAGTCAGAATCTGCATTTTGATAAGATGTAATCCTCAGGCACCTTTAAGCTTGAGAGGTACCGCTGTAAAGCACCCTCTGATTGGCTTGGTTTCTAGAAAAGTGAGTAGCAATTTGGGCCATTTGTTTTCCCTGACATGTGTGAAGGAAAAGGAAAAGACGGAAATACATATGTATACAGAGAAAGCGACAGACTGAAATGATGCCAAGCTGGTTTGCATACGCTTAGAAACGGTCTGTCGCTTACACACAGGACCTGCAGTGTCCACTCCAGTGGTGAAACCTACTGCAGTCTGTAAACGCATGAGCTCCAGTTCTGGGAAGTTCAACCACCTTTCCTTTTCAGTTGATTTTGCTCTGAGTTTCAGAATCCGAGCTCCGTGTTAACTCCTCCGATGTTTACTCCTTTAAATAATTTAGTTCCGCACACCAGACGAGGAGTTGCTGAGATGTTTCTAACGGCATGCTCTTAATTTCTCATCAAAAAAGCCATCTCATCAGTTTTCAGTACTAAAGAAAACGACGGGGACCTTACCGCCTTCTCGTTTATCAGCTGCTTGACTCTGGTTCTCAGCTTCTCCTCTTGCTGCAGCCTCTCCTCGTTCAGCTTCTCCTTCTCTGCCAGATGCTCCTGCAGCGCCTCTTGCAGCAAAGACTTCTGAGTCTCCTGAGAACTGCTGATCTTGATCTGAAATTAGAGGAAGGAACACCAAAGCTGGTGGGGGACACAGCTAACTCAGGACAGGAGTCCTTTCCACGTTTATTTATTTTTACAAGTTGTTTACCTTTGTGGGGAGGGACAAAGGTTTATGCGAAACCTTCTGAAAACACACGGAAAACCTATGCTTAGCCTCGTTACTGGTAGGAAAGCAATAAAGTACAGTGGTTAGGTGCTCAGATTCTGAATCTAGAGAGAATCTTAGCTCTAGCTCTTTCTAGATGCTTCTTCATTTAGAAGATGAGGCCAATCATAGAATCTACCCCTTAGAGTTTTACGGATTAAGGGAGGTAATGAGGGAACGCTTTAAGCACATAGTAGGTGCACAGTCAGTGGTAACCAGAATCATTAGATAGTATTTGCTGAGTGTAAGAGGAAAAGCAGGGAGCTAGGGTCAGAAGGCCTGAGCTTTTGTCTTGGGTTGTCTACCAACTAGCTGTGTGACGTAGAAACAGTCGCCTAGCCTCTGAACTTCAAGTCCATGTCTGTAAGATAAGAAGGCTGGACTAGATCAGGGTTGACGAACTACTGTCTGCCGGCCAAATCTGGTCTACCATCTGTTTTTGTAAATAAAGTTTTATTGGAACAGGGCCATGCCCATCATGCTCATTTATTTACGTGTTTTCTATGGCTTCTTTTGCTCTACAGCAGCAGAGTCGAACAGGTGTGACCGAGATTGTACGACCTGCAAGGCCATCTGCAAAGCTATGTTTACCATCGGGCCCTTGACAGAAAGAGTTTGCTGACCCCTGGACTAGGTGGTCTGTGGTTGACCACAGCGGTGGTCCCAACACTCCACCCTCCTAGGTAACTTTCATTGCTCAACTCCATCCGGTGCCGTGACACTGAACTCAGCCATGTGACTTGCCAGTGGGAGGCGGCGGACATACCGCAGAGGATGAAGGCAAAGCACTCTGTGACCGGTCCTGCTTTCCCTCTCACCCCTGCTCGCCACGAGAGCATGCTGGGCCAGCCGCTGGAGGACCGGAGACACACTGAGCGGAGGAGAGCTGCTCCAGTGGAGCAGGCAGGCCCGTACCCAGACACGTGAGCAAACCCATCTCAGATCCGAGGACCTGCCTGGCGGCCGACGCCGGCAGCGCACAGTGACCGTGGAATGCCATCAGCTTGTGTGCGTGTTCATTCCGCAGCATTATTTTGGCAATAGCAGCCAGGCTGACACAATCTTAGGGGTCACTGTGCCTTGCGAGGGTTGACATTATGTAACTTTTGGTAATTCTGCTGCCTGGACACTGGCCAGCTACACTTCTTCCACTGCATTTAATAAACACAGTTCTCAGGATCGGAAGGCTTTTAAGCCCTTCTGGGTTTGGTAGCGGGAAGCAGGCATCCTCTTGGGCCTCCTGGGCGATCTCGGCCAGCCTGTCTGAATCTCTTCCTGTGAAAGTGGAGACCACGTCACCACTTGGAGGGTGCGGCTGGCCAGCTCACGGGGGAATCAGGGTTGAAACGCCCAGGTGAACTTCCCGAAAGCTAAAAGATTACCTGAAGTTCCTGGGTCTGGCTTGTGACTTTTTTATAATGTTCCAGGAGATATTTCAGATACAAAGACAATCCTTAAAAAACAGAAGCAAGAAGAAGGTAAGTAGCTACTCCATTCACCTCCCTGGCTTTCCAAACAGTGTCTAACCAGAGCTTGCCCGCAGGTGGGTGAGGGCAGCCCCCCACCCCCCCAGCAAGAAAACGTGAGCCGCCGCCCGAACCTGTGTTTCCAGCCTGGCCCATCAGCTGGGTTGGGCTCAAAGCCAAATTTCTTTTTGGGGTGAAAGATGAAAAGCCGTCAACAGAACACCTATTGACTACCCACCGTGTGCAGACCCCGAGCTGAAGAGGGGGTGCCAAGCTGATGGTTCTGCCTGAGAGATAAGGTCTACATGCCCGAGAGAGAACACGAGCTGCCTCCAGGCAGTGGCCTCTGGGGGTGGGGGGTGGGGGGCTGTGGTGAGAGTCCCAGAGGGGACAGAGTAGAGAAGGCCACTGGCCAGGAGCCACTGGGTGTGGGCGGAATTCCGAGCAGGAAGGGAGAACACTTCAGAATGAAGGACGCGGTGGGCTGAGTGACAGCCCCAAAGACACCCCGGCCCTGGTCCCTGGGGCCTGTGACTGTTATCTTCTGGGGCAGAACGAACTGTGCAGATGCGAGGAAGTTAACGATCCCGAGATGAGGGGACTGCCCGGGATCATCGGGGTGGACCTGGTATAATCACATGGGTTCTTCTAAGAAGGAGAACAAGGGGGTGTGCAGGAGGCAGGCTATCGATGTTTCTCTCTTCCATCGATGTTTCTCTTCCTTCCTCTCTCTCTAAAAAAGTCAATAAGAACATATTAAAACGTGAAGGAATCGATTATTTTTAGAAAAGGGAGACCTGTCCCTAGACAGAGCAGGAGGTGATGTTGCAGAAGCGGAGGGATGGAAGATGCGGGGAGGGAGGCCCGCGGACGAGGAGCGGGAAGACGAGAGCTCCGGCAGCTCTTCCCTGGGGCCCCTGCAGCGAATGTTGGACTTCTGGCCCCAGAACGATAAGGGGGCAGTTATGTGCCGTGCTAAGCCACGGAGTTGATGGCCATTTGTCATCGCGGCCATGGGAAATTCACATGGGGACGGAGGCAGGTGGGGTGTGGGGGACGCGGACCCTGTCCCCGGAGAGTGCTGAGCTGAACTGGGCTGGAGCAGGTGATGGCAGGTGGAGTTGCTGAAGGTGGAGATGGACTAGAAGGCAGATGGACTGTGTGGCAGGCCTGCACCCGCACCCTGAAACGTGTAAACTTGATGTAGACACCGCTGAAATGTACTGAGCATGTCCTCTGTGCCCGGCCCGCGGTTAGGCAATCAACATGGTGCCCCACTGTACCGTCTGATCACCGCCCATTGTACAGGTGAGGCAGCTGGGCTCCGAGACACTGAGGCTGCTGAATGCCACGCCGCTGGCCAGTGGCTGACACTGGACTTGGGCTCAAGTTGGTGTGACTCCACGGTCTGAGTCCCTGCTATTTCGGCTGCGGATGGAGCAGTGAATCGGCTTGATGAAGAGCGTCCCCGACACCCGAAAAATAACTGGACTCATTCCAGGGGGAGGAGCTAGCGGGGTTTCCTAACTGCAGTGCTGACGCGTGGGCTGGACAATCCTCGGGTGGGGCTGTCCCGGGCAGTGCAGCGTGGCTGGTGCCTCTCTGGCTTCTCACTAAGTGCCAGGAGCAGGCCCAGCGCAGTTGGGATAAAAAGTGTCTGTGGACACTGCCAGGTGTCTCTCGGCAGTGAAACGCCCTCCTTTGAGTTAGAGGCAGACAACTTGACTTAGAGCCCAGGGGCATCCCGGACTTCTGTGCTGATGTTCCGAACCAGGGAGGGAGAGACAGGTACAAGAAGAAAGAGGGAGGGAGGGAGAGCCTGTTTAAGGAGAATGGTGGCCCCATTGTCAGACAGAGGAGGAGACAGGCTGGGGCGAAGTGGGGGCTGGGGACAGAGGAGGAACGGTCAAGCTCGGTGTCGGACGTATTGCATCTGAGGTGCTGGGACTCCGAGGACAGGTGGTCGGCAGAGAGCTGGGCACGCTCCGTTGGCAAGACCAGCCCGGCTCAGCCAGGGACTTCATGCGAATCAGGAAAGAGCGCCCTTCCTCCTGGGGACACGGCCCCGGCCAGGGGCCCCATCTGTGGGGCTCCTCTGTGTGGCACCACCTGCACCCCTGCTCCTGGCAGCCAGACACGCGGAGATGTCCCTGAGGCCGGCACTGCATGGAAGTGGCTGCTGAAGCCCCCAGAGTGCAGCGTTTCTCCGTGAGAAAGGAGATGAGAGAGGAGGACCCAGGGCGGCACTGGAGGAGACACTCGGGTAGGGACAGAAACCGGAGCAAGGGGTTGCTGAGAACAAGTGAAGAGCATCGGGAGAGGGGCAGGGGTGCCAGGACCGGGAGGGCCTGGTGTGAGGTTTGGAGATGTTGGGGCGGCCAGAGGGAACACGGGCTGGGGAAGGGTGGAGGGCCGGCTGGTGGTGCGGGCTCCATGTCGGTTGCTTGGCAGGGGCAAAGACAAAGGAGGAGGTGGGCAGTGAAGACAGAGGGTGCCCCACACTCGTTCAAGGTCATCGGTGAGACCGGAGCGCGGGTAGCAGAAGGGAGCTGGCGAAGCAGAGGTTCCAGTGAAGCATCCCCATCTCGAAGTGCGTGTTTGATGGCAGAGGAGGAACGAGAGAGAGAAAGGTGGAAGGCGCCAAGGTCATGATTCAGGACCGTGTGCACGGTTCTCGGGGCGGGGTGGGGGGCACACGGGAAAGGAGAACGCGGTGGGGGAGATGGAGGGAACGGAGAAAAGGTGTGTGCAGAGGGAGAAAGGAGGGGAGCTGAACACGCTCACGCCTGGGGTGTTGATCTCCATCAGTGGAACGTTCTGAGAACCTCCATCATGGAAGAGTGACAATAAAATAACAGCCATCCAGTATTAAGCACCTGCTGTGTGCCAGGCACTGGGCCAGGAGCTTACACAGGTTTCCTTGCCATTAAAAACAACTCAGCAAGGACATGTGTTTGTGTTTACAGGGGAGACAACAGGAGATCGGCAAGGTTAGGCTACAGGTCTGGTAAGCGGGAGGATCAGAATTCAGACCCAGTCCGTCTTTCTCTTTTAAAAGAGACCAGAGGAGAGGGCTGGGTTGGCGCATGCGGCGTGTGCACGGGACGAGGTGCACTGGGAGGAGGCTGAGGTGCTGCAGGGCTAAGAGGCCTCGGAGGCATCGGCTTGGGCTATAAGAAGCAGGCCAGTGCTCGGATTTGCGGTGGCCAAATTGGGATGGGTCTGGGATTGTGCTCGCTGCAGCCTGTGACCCAGGAACCTCAGGGGAAGGAGCGAATCATGGGGAGGATCCAGGGAGGGTTAGGGACAGGAGGGAGCCAAGGATGTGAAGGGAAGGGAGCCTGAGTACCTATGCTTCTAGTTCCATGATGAACAGTAATCATAACGAGATTTCTCCAGTTTGGGAGAAGGAGCAATTCTTTCTTATGTTTCTGGTTACAAAAGTTCCATGTGCCCATCACAAAAGTCCAAGCAGAAGTCCGCCTGTGGAAAGTGCTCACCGCTGCGCCGTCAGTGGCCGGCGCGCAGCGGGCCTGCAATAAATGGTTGTGGAAAGACTGATGCTGGGATAATACAGGCTTGGGTCTTTTTCTCCAGATTTTTCTTTTGATCAGACACTGACATTTAAAAACAAGACGAAGGGGAGTACACTATGCATATTGTATTACAACCTGCTTTTTTGTTTCACTTAAAAATACTTCATCGCGCAGACATCAGAGAAAGAGTGATTGTCTGCATCAAGGGAAGCCTCTTGTTTGTGACCAAGTCTTGCAGAAATAGACACAAAAGCTGCGCTGGCAGAGAAAAACGCAGAGTTCGTTCTTCTCTTATCGAGTCGAGCTGGGAACCCAGGCGGGAGGCGTGGGGAACATCTCGCGGTTCCTCCCTAGATGTTTCCTATCTTCCCAGCCGGCCCACACAGCCAATCCCTGACCAATCCGGTCTTCAGCAGCAACTCCGAACTCTGGGCCCCTAACGACATCGCCCAACAGTGCAAACAGCTTCCCTCCCCATCTGCCGGACCTGAGTGCTCCCGGGAGCGTATTTCAGGATTTACAAGCCCACCGTACTAGGCATGTTTGCCCCCTTCGGGCGATGCTCTACAAGGCACGTAGGGTGCTGGTGAAGAGCAGGGGCTTGCAGATTAGAGGGACCCGGACTGAGCCCCGGCTTTGCCACTTGGCAGCTGGGACACACGCCCATTGTCAGGCCTCTAGGAAGGAGGTTCTTCGCGCTCAACCCAGCTGAGTGCCAGGGCTGAGAAAATCTCACTTGCTGCCAAATGGGGCTGGGGCGGGCTTTGCAGTGAAGTCACCTCGGTGTGTGTGGATCAGGCTGCATGGCCTGTGCGAGGTCCCATCTGGTTGCCACCCGCATTTAGGCCGCATTAAACCAACAAGTGTTTGAGGCTGATGGAGATGGCAGAGCCCATGTGTTAAGTCTGTGACCCAGGCTCTGCGGCCTGTGTGTTCATCACATCGTTCAACCCTCACTATAGCCCTGGGCGACTTTATCCCCATTTTACAAACAGGCAAACCGAGGCACAGCGAAGTCAAGTGACTTTCTCACCCAACTAGCAGTTATGTGGTTGAGATTCAAAGCTTGGCTGCGCTCCAAAGCCCAGACTCAGAGCCATTCTGCCCTAATGCCAACGGGGCTTTCCCCGGGCATGGCCTGTGGCGTTCATCGGATACACTTCGCTCTGCTTGTCTCTGCCCAAGTTAATGACAGGCCCTGTCACCTAGAACTGGGCCCTCAGAGGGAGAGGGGTCACTGCAAAAACACAGACAGGAGGATCGCAATAACCTCAGTTTGAGTCCTGACCCTATCGTGTCGCAGCTGAGTGACCTTGAGCCAGTTTCTTGATGTCACGGAGACTCAGTTTCCTTATCTGCAAAACAGAGGCAATACTAGTCCCTCGCTCGTTGGGTTGTGGGAGGATGAAAGTAATCAACGCTCGCGAAACGACGAGCACAGCGCGAACACC